CTAGGAAAACAGTAACATTAAATTACCTAAGACCAGCTGAGTCCGCTCTCCGCGTTCCTCTCTCCGCTGGCCGATACGCGCCTAGGAAAACCCGGCTTAAGCGGATTTCCATTAGTTGTTTACTTTTTCTCTATTAGAATAACATGGGAATTTTTAATTTAAAATTTTGAAATTTTCTCTCTAAACAATAACCGTACAAAAGGACTTTAATATACTAAATTATTTGTTTTCCAAGCTTTTCAAAATGGTTTAGAGAGATATTGAGAAATTTTATGTTTTGAGAGTAAAACATTGAAAAAATCTATTTTTACTTAATAAAACCCCCCATAATGGTTCACATGGTCCGATCATGCTGGTTCGCAACTCATTCAAATACACGTAGGTTTACAAGTTATTTTCTAAATTTTATCAAAATTGGATGATGTTTGCTCGAGTTATTGTGCCAAAGGATGTATATGAATTTGATAGGATGGTGTTTTGACCTCTAGGGACATCAAAACAAAAAATTAAATCGGTCCCAAGTCCCGGTCTTACCATGATACCTAAGGTATTAGCAGTATTATTAGGTATTATTAGGTGATATAAGGTATATTCCCTATGTCAGAAATTCGCTAAATGTGATTTGTAAGAAAGACATAATTTTCAGGAACAATTATGCACATTTGACAGTCCAATATCAGACACAGAAGGTAACTGCCATGAAGCGGATTGCAGTGTTTGGACTGAGTGACTTCATAGGTAAATATTTGTTTTATTATTTATTAAATACAATTAACAAGAAATGTATAAACTCATACTTTGATAAAGGTGTCACACACCTAGGTGGATAAATTAGCTGAATACAAGGTGAGTGTAGAATGGAGATGATAAGTGTAGCTTTGTTACTTGATCAGCTGTTTATTTTCAGGACCATTTATTTCAAGCCCAATGATCAAGAACAGCTGGATTCAATTTTGAAACATCCAAATGACTTTTTTCAGAATTGAATTGACAACCTGGAAGGGATTGATCTCTTCCTTGCGTCCCCAACTTATCTAAAACACAAGCGTCTAGGCAGCCAGTGCAACTCCGAGGACCGTGGATCAGAACACCCCCCACCACCGCACCATGTTGTACGCTTTCGAATCATACCGGCGCATCAGCATAGCCTAACTGTTGGCGGATAATTGTTATTTCTATCACTGTCGCTGTCAAAACGTATCGTTTGTAGCTTAAATTTAAATTAAAAGTAATCAAACTGTCATAACCTAACCAAACTAACCAAACTTGCTTATAATGAAAAACTCGAATGAAGGTTTACTAATCAAAAAAATAGTTCTGTTCTAAAAATAAAATTATAAATGTCTTAAATTCAATTTTTTAAATTTTTAATTATAAAATTAAACTGTCATAACCTAACCAAACCAACCAAACTTGCTGATATGAAAAAAATTGTTGACAAAAAGTTAGTGCTACCGCTACCAGCGGGATTCGAACACGGCACCTATCGATTATCAGCCCGACACGCTATCCACTACACTACCAAGGCTCATGACTTAGCTCTGTATTGTTGCGGTAATGGTTGACGTCACGCCATCGGCACGGAGCGGTGGTGGGGGTTTTCTGATCTGATCCACGATCATCGGAGTTGCACTGGCTGCCTAGATGCTTATATCTAATACCTCTTTGGCCACTCACCCTGGGCTCTTTTACCAAAGCTGTTTCTACTATTACCTAAATATTTTGTCTATTCATAAATTTACATAAACAACAGATTTACCTCAACGTAAATTTCACTTATTTGTGGGTTTCACAAAAATAAATAATTAATAAACTAAAGCTAATAATCATATTAATTTATTTTCCAGCTAACATCGGAGGCCTCCTAGGACTATTCTTGGGATTTAGTTTCCTTAGTTTGTTTGAAATCTTCTACTTTTGTACTCTGCGGTTCAAAAATAAGAAAGGTAACAGTAACTCCAACATAAGAAAATTACAACGTAAAATATTATCTATGTGTATAAATTGTAAAAAAAATTGTGACTGTTATAACTGTATTTTAGTCTACTGTAGACCAAATACTACCAACACACACACTTTCAAATTTTGTAAAATAAACAGGTTCGAGAAGAACAAATATTGTTCAGCTCTTATTGGAAAAATTGGACCAACAAGTTAAGTCAAACTTAGCTCTACTTCCCCAATTTATCTAGAAGTATTGCAAAAGTAATAATTTTGCCATATGTATCCATCAGTTTCTTCAATAAAAATGTGTCAATTTTCAGTTACTTTTTTAGATGAAGAGTGTTTTAAGCCAATTAGAGAGATTCATTTAAACAAGTTTGATCAAAATGACAGAATAATACTTGTAGACGGAACTAATAAAACAGACTCTCAACATCGACATAATATTCTTATAAAACTATGTAAGATAATCAAAACAATCAATGCTAAAATTTTATTGAATGAACTGCCGTATTTTATATCTTTATCTGTAAAAATCTTATATTTAACTTATTATCTTATATTATTAATACACGGCAGGTAATTCTAAGATGCTTCCCACCAACCAACATCAGATGGATGCCAACTCATTAGACAAACCACAGCACGAGATTTCGCAGCCGACCCTCCACAGCATCTTGTGTGTATCAAGTGAAGTGCAGGCTGTTACGCCCAGTCCAAGCGCTAGTCCCTCCCGACACCTTGCTCCTGGCCCACATTCCTATGTGGCAGTGATACAGGGCAGTGCAAGTGTCAGTGTCAGTAATGTGAATCAAGTTTATACTGCAGGTTCTGGTGATGGTGTTGCTTCATCAAATATTCCTGCTTTAGAAATTTGCCCAGAAAAGAAGCAGAAACTATAAATCCAGCAAACAATTTGATTCACCAGCAAACACTATTAACAAAAGTAACATTACCTCAAAAATACAACTCTCTCCTCTAAGGGGTAAATAAAAAAGTTGAAGAACTTGAATTGTTTATTTTATATTTAATTTAAAATATATTGTAATGTTGAAATTGTATGTATGAAAGAGCACTGTGTAAAAAAGATAGTAGCTATTTGCTTAAAAGAATGTTAAACTTTAGTTTGGCAGATGGCTATTTTAGAGAAAAAAACGGAGGGAGGTTCTGTTATATTATAATTCTTTGACTTATGTTGTAAGAAATGATTTTTAAAAGATATTTAAAGAAGAATTTTTAGTTGGAGGATAATTTATTCAGATTAATTCACTAGTAATATTAATAGTATCAATTTATAGAATACCTGGCAATAAAGTTACAAAGGAATTCCTAAGGAAGCTTAATAATTTGTTTAAATTATATCAAAAGAAAAGAAATTTATTTAAATTCAAATGGCGTCAGATATTGATTTATTGGTTAGGGATACAAATCCAGACCGATTTCCGAATATTGTTAGTAGATATAGTTATAATGTACATTGTTTTGAAGCTACCAGAACCAATCAATCAATCAATCAGTTTCTTTATTGAGATTTCTTCAAGAAATGCAATAGTGTCATATAATAGACTGTAATTTGAATTTTCATCTTGCTTGACAATTTTGATCGATGAATTCCTATAGTGAATAGAATGGTTGATCCATTAGCCAGTCTTTGAGTTTCCTCTTCAGGTCTTGATTTCTAAGGTCTTCAAGTGGTTGGGCAGGCTATTGAAGACCTTTGTCCCATGTAGTGCTTCCTGCTTTGAGTTGTATGTTTTGCAGGGTAGTCTGTAGCTCTTCGAGTGTTGTGAGAGTAAGAATATTATCCTCTTGTATGTTCACTCTATTGAGTATAGTTAATCATTGCAAAGATGTATAGTGATGTCACAGTCGTGGTTTTTAGTGATTTATAAGCTTCCCTGCAGCTTTCTTTAGGGCTGAGGACAGCTAGCGTTATTGTAGCTTTTTTCTGAAGTCGCAGTATTCTTGTAAGGTTCTGATCTGTGGTTCCACCCCAGACCACTAATCCATATCTTTTGTGGGACTCTACTAAGGCATAGTATGCAGTATTAGTTGCCTCCTGTATTCCTATCAGTTTAATTCTACACATTACATAAATTCCAGATCCTAGTTTTTTGCTCAGGCTATTTACATGTTCTGTCCAAGAGAGTTTAGCATCGATGGTCATGCCTAGTAGTTTGGATTGTTCATTGGCAGTGATATTGGTATCTTCAGTTGTCTGCAGCTGTCTTCTGCTGTAATTTATTTGCATAGTTTTTGTTGGACTTATTGCTAAGTCATTTTGAAGACAGTACGTTGTTGCTTTATTGGTTAGTTCTCTGAGTAGAGTCCATGAGTTGTATAATTCTTAATAATAAATGTTGTATCATCAGCATACATATTTGGCATGATCATTATAAATAAAGTCTGTGAAGTCATTAGTGAAAAGTATAAATAGAAGAGGACCAAGACCCGAACCCTAAGGAACTCCCATGGTGGTAGTTTTTGGGCTAGATCTGAAGGTGTGTCTTGTTCCATTTAATGTTTTTTGTATTCAAACTATCTGTGCACAGTCTTCTAGATAGCTTGCTATCCAGACAAGGGCTTTGCCTTTAATCCCTAGTAGGAGTAGTTTGTTAAGTACAAGCTTGTGACCTAAGCAGCCAAATGCCTTAAGGTCTTTTCTGGTTATTTTATAAGGTAGACTTCTGTTACTTTTATAAGTTTTAGTTTAGGGTTAGTTTATATCGTAACGCCACTCCAGTCTTTGTACTTTGTGCATTGTAAAAATCTGATGAGTGAATAAAGAAAATATTTGTACTGATATGGAATTTTCCACAAATTAAAGCGATAATGAGATGAAGATTAAATAAATTATGAGAGTGTATAAATTTCCTGTATAATTTTTCTTTTTGTTTTGACCATATATTTCGATAAACAACAAAACTGGTCCATGGTCAGTCCTGACTTCATTACCTGAATGAATATATAGGACAAACAAAGAATGATAACTTTTTACAATAAATTACACAATGTTAAAACGAAAGCTAGGAAATAAAAATAAAATAACACCTCTGTCATTTTTGAGGGGGTGTATCATCTGGGAATCCTTTAATCATGACAACTGTTGTGTACAAAACTCCAGTAACAAGGCCAATAACTGCTAGGACAATGGAAAAGAAATCAAACGAGTGTTTCCAGGGACGCGAGTGGCAGGACCAATAGAGCGCCAGATCACAGAGTGGTGGCATCATAAGTGCCAGTAGAGTTCCGCACACAGCTCCTGTGAGGGACACAAACACTCCCAGACTTGGCAGTACCTCTACAGCTGTGACTGTAACATTATTTTATGGTCTTACACATGGTAAATAGCCCAGGCATATGTTTGGTCAATGAATTATTTTTGTTATTTTTCTCTTAGGTAAGCTACATTACAAAGCATTGTGTGAACTACTTTTACCATTGATTTATATATAGCATCAATACCAAAAGCTCATAAATGTAATTAAGATTTCTGGTAAATCTCCTACATTTTTCCGCAGCCTCGATCAAGACTGTCCTTTTAACACTGCTTCATAATTTCAACACCTATCTGTGTCACAGTTTATTTACCGCACTAGTATTATCGTCACAAATTGGTACTTACAAGTAGCCAACGCTATGATGAGTCGGAGTGCCAGCTCGGCCAGGACCGTGTGCTGCGCAGGTCCATGCTCTGTCACCAGCTCCGGCCAGACCAGCATGAGAGCTATGTGGAACTGTAGAGTGTACGAGAACAAGAGTCCCAGGGCTATGGTCAAGTGAACAACCTCAGAACACCTGCAACAATTTTAAGGGAACTATCTCACAATTTACTCCTTTGTTACACCTCTCGCTTGAATATTTACACTTGGATTACTCCTCATGCTTGACTTAACACTTTTACTTACCTTACCACTAATTTATAATAATTTGCAGCAGAAACTTTCATTCAGTTTCAAGTTATGTTTAAGATGTTTTGACTACTGATATAAGTAGTGTAGAAATCCCACCCATGATGAAGCTATAGTTTATAGTTTTAGAATAGAATTAAAAGAGACACCAAGTTTGTTGATATCAATTACTGATTTCTGTCAAATAAGTCTCAACTTTTTAACCATGCCAACCTGAAAGAAACACTTACTGAAAAATATATCACATCTTATTTAAAATCCAACTATCGTAGTACCAAGGAAAGTTAAAATTTTCACCAATGAGTGCTATATTCTATTTAAATATTTTTTTTTAAATGACTTCAGCCGGTCCATACAGATGTAATGTCTAACTAATAAATAAACAGATACTGTACTAACAAATACGTCTGTGAAAGGCTGTAGCTCAGGTGGTGGCTGGCGACGTCGTCTACGAATTTGATGAAGCAGATGAATGCGATGACAACAAACAAAGTCCCGACCAGAGCCAGTAAGACGATCAGCAGGTTACAATGTCTAAGAGGAGCCATGATTGGTGGAGTCGATCCGTTTAGTGGCCACGTCTGCAACGATAAATGTTTACTTACTATATTGTAATGTTAACATTTTTTGGAGGTTATGTTATCAAACTTTAACTGGAGGAGAGTTGGAAGATGTTGAGTGTAGCAGCTACTTTAATAAACAACTTGTGCGACTGCTTAGAATGTATCAATACAGTTCACTTGTACAGTACAAGCTCAGTCCTTGCTTTGCTGGATTCATTTGATAAATTCAGAACAGTTTAGTGGTTTTTCCTGGTTCAACTTATCAGTTTTTGAAATTTTGATTTTTTTGGGGGTTATTTTCCCCTTAACGGAAAAATAAGATTTTAACAAAAACTATCTCCCGTAACCGATTTTGATTAAAATTTAGAATCTTATAGCCCTTTTAACTCTTAACAAAATGGTACAACTCCTCCTATTGCTGTAAAAATTACAGTTAAACTGTTCATGCAATTTTTGTGATTCAACCCAAAAAATACCATAGGTATTCACACCCCTTGCCCATGATAAGGTTGTTGACAAGCTACTAGGAGAAAGTATATGTCAGATTGGTGCATGATACCGTTTATTTGTATAGTTTAGCGTAATACCTTAGCTATTCCTTCAAAGCAGTAGATGGATGTTCCGAAAAACAGAGGTATCTGAGACCAGTGAGCGATCGTAGGTCGAGTAGTGATGGGTGGCAGGTCAGAAGAAGACACGTACAGCGTGAGGGCAACGGCACTGAATACAAACACACTGGACAGTACGGAGAACAGGGTGAGAAACCTGGGAACACAAATGTTTAACATTTAGATTGGATTTGGCTAATCTTACTTATTTTTTTTCAATAACACTCTCATTTTAGAAACCCATTTAAGATATTTATGTAAAATAAATCACAAACTTCACTACTAGTACCGAAGGTGGTCTCCTAAAGTTTGTTTGCTGGTTGTGTTCCCCTCGCTCTATAGAGCTTCAAACATGTTTGTTGATCTCAGCTGTCATAAAAAAAACTACTTTCTGATGAAACAATGGAAAAGTGAAAAGTAGGTTATATTTTTCTTTGTATTTTTCTTAATCGATTATGTTCCATACCTTTCGCACATTTATTTTCAAAACATCGCAGCTACCATACTATACTCGGTTCATTAAATGTAGGCAGTTCTAAGGGAAGAAATTTATCCCCTCCATTTGATCCTCCCTTCAAAACAATAGTTTAACAGTTGAGTTTTGAGAAAACGTCAATCAGCTTCAACATATACATTATGCAAATGAGTAGTGGGCAAACTTACAGTCAAATAGCCTAAATTTTGTTAAAGAAACTATAGTGTAGCAATAAAAATAATAAGTATTTTTATCAATTTCATATGAAGCATACCTGAGGTTAGCCATGAAGATTGTCAGAACGACTGGGAGGAAAATAATAACTATCATGAGATGCTCATCCATCACTATTCCATGTCTAGCGAGCATCCTCAGCAGCTGAAAAAAACACAATGTCTCATTAGACGCATTTATGTCTAACATTAACAACCATCCAACTTTTCAATCGCTTAAAAAGTTAACTGCTTGTGGTAATCCCTGAAAGTATACTAAGCGACTAGTTTTTGTGCCATCGTAAAACTTACAACATTTATTCATTATTTTTGTTTGAAATAACCAAATTAATTTAGTAAAATAAGGGATTGTACTGTATGTGAGAAAGACTATTATTTATATGGTCCTTAATAAAAAAAACTCACTCCTTCATTAATTTAAGGAGTCAGTTAATTATTTCAGACAACTGAGAGACTTCTTATTACAGTTACTAACACAAACAAAGGCTCTTAGTCTACAGCATTTAGTGATGTAGTACCCAGTGCACTCTCCGCATATTGACTTATAAAAACCATTTTTTTTTACCCTTTGCGGTCGAATGGCAAGTATAGGTCGCCACCCGCCATTTTCCTGACTGCTCAAAAATGGCAACCTACACTAAAAAAAATCAAAAGTTAAAAAAGTTTATTTTTCCAGTAAAATGGCGCCATTTTCCCGACTGATCTAATGGCAAACTATACTCGGCAAAAAATGGGGGGGAAATTCGACCTCAAAGGATTAATAATGCCGTGTAAATGAATTTTAGTTAGTCTACTTATATTTTTTATGTTTATCCTACGAATACTTACAGATTGTAGTGAGGAGGACGTAAAAATGAAATATACAATGCAGCAACCGAGCTGGGTCATCAAGTTGAGTCCCTTCACCACCTCCCTGTGAAGAGCAACATTTTTACACTCACTGGAGTAGAAAATAAATTACAGTGTATAAAGAGGAAGAGAACGTAGATTTTAAAGATTATTAAAGATAGCAGACTTATTTGGTGGGAGAAGAGTCCATCCTTCGTACAAAAAGCACACAAATTTAACTTTTGACACAATAATTTGAATACTGACACTGAATGCACTTTCACCAAAGAAACGTGTTAGCAGCATAAGTTATTGTTTAGGGTTGCAGACACTTTCTAACCAATTAGTCTTGTTACTATCTTCAGGGCCGTTAATAAATGGCTCCAGTCCTCAAGAAGTTTTAGGTTTATTGGGGGGTAGGAGGGGGCAACGAAGAGAAAAATTCTCCTTTAAGATAGGTGGTTGGCAACAATCGCTCCGGTCCATGGGGCAACATGCAAACCACAGGCATGACTTATTACAACAAATATATATTTTTTTATTTATATTTTTCTTATTTACTTATTCTTACATTCACACTATCTTATATTATTAATAATCTTATATTATAATCCAAAATATTGGAGTACTTAACAAGATATGATCTTTTAAACATGTAATCATGAAAGGATTACTCTAGAACAAGTTTGCTACTATTTTTAAGATTACTGGATATTAGAAACAATCAAACCAAAACAATCATCACCTGACTGCTGAAGAACATTTGCGGAACAGGGATGGCCCGGACTGGAATGCCCACTCCATCGTGTCAGGGAACGATGGATAGAAACTGAGGTTCTGTCGATGTTTGATTTCCTTGGAGCAGTTAGCCTGTAAACATTTAATTAGATTTAAATCTTAGAAAAAAAAGAAAGATCAATTTCATATTTTAAAATGTTTGATGTTGTTAATTTGTTTTGTGATGAGTTGGTGGCTTATAGTGGATAGCTGGACAGAATGTAAAACCAATAAAGCAGCTATGTTGTGAATGTATTTCGATAATACCACTATTTCAAATTTATTCAGTACAGTTCATACTTAAGCTTAACTATTTCCCTATAGGGAAGTAGCTATTACTGTAGGGGGCATGGTAAGACCTAGGCCCGGAACCGATTTAATTTTTCATTTTGATGTCCCCAGAGGCCAAAAACACCATTTGTTCAAATTTATGAGTGAAAATTTAAAAACGTACGTTTTCATGTTCCTGGCCTTTTAATTCGTAGATACTGGATTTGTAGTTTATTATTATGTGTTTTAATATTTTTTGGGACGGGGGCAACATGTTACACACATTTATTTGGTTTTAAATAGGTTCTAGGTATTTTTTTTCGTATTTTTAAAGTCTCGAAATTCACGACCATGACGTGTCCCTAGGGTACATTTTCCAACTTTCACGCTGTTTTTAGACTAATTATTCATGCCGAAATATATAAAGCCATATTTTTATGTCATCAATGGTTTTTAAACTTACAAAAAAGGAGCATATTATAATTTTATTGTCATTGCAAACTGACTACCATGACAAAATAAGTCTGTCCCTCGATTTGGCGTCACGACCATTTGGGAAAAATTTTCTACATTGGAGCACAACAGTGGCAAGCCTGGCGTCGATGGAGTCAGTTGGTTTTAGAGACTAGTTCGGGGTGTACGTCAGGATTGTAGTGCCGGTCGTTTCAAATTGAAAGGAGGAATTACAGGATTAATAATGGAAAGATTGTGTTTTTTGTAATTTTGGTGTGTCCATGACCGTACGTAGTCATTCGATGAAGTAGACATGGTGTTAATTTTTGTTTATAAGCTATTTCAATTGCTAGATTAACCTAGAAGTCCACTTTGTATCCTCGAACATGAGGTACAGGGCTACCGCCAGAACAGAGCCAAATAACACGTAATTTCACGACCAAAGTTTCACGACCATCGCGGGTTTTTTTAACGACCAATTCAGCCTTATGGATTATAGTGTTTATAATGGTTTAAATACCTGCATTCAGTAATCCATTATGCTGCTTGTGGCAACTATAGTTTCGGTTCACAGGGAACCATCTTCAGGCCGTACAAGGCGTCATTATTCACTTCCATATATGAAGGTCGTCATAAGTACATAGAACACGAACACACGAAAACACACATTGACACGAACATTTAACATTAAAAATACCGAGTACTCAGGAACACGAGACAGGTGACGCGACCGGGTGGAAGTTGTAGCTCGAACTGGTGGTCAGTGGTCTAACGGTATGACGTCAGCCATTGTCTCCTTATCACTGCCGGCTCGCATTCATTCCTTCTCTCCTCCTCCCCCATCCAGTATTTTGATTGCGGTGTTATAAATGGAATTCGATTGGAATGAGAGTTTGTCATTTAAAACATTTTGACCATCTGTTTTGACTGCCTTGTATATTTCAAATTCTTCGTAAGTGTTAATGGTTGATCGGTCTTGGGAAAGATGTAAAACGTCCATATTACTATTTAAAATAGTAATATGGACGTTTTACATCTTTCCCAGTTCCCAGTGGAAGTTGTAGCTCGAACTGGTGGTCAGTGGTCTAACGGTATGACGTCAGCCGTTGTCTCCTTATCACTGCCGGCTCGCATTCATTCCTTCTCTCCTCCTCCCCCATCCAGTATTTTGATTGCGGTGTTATAAATGGAATTCGATTGGAATGAGAGTTTGTCATTTAAAACATTTTGACCATCTGTTTTGACTGCCTTGTATATTTCAAATTCTTCGTAAGTGTTAATGGTTGATCGGTCTTGGGAAAGATGTAAAACGTCCATATTACTATTTAAAATTCTTTTCTATTCTTTTTAGAGGGACAATGAAAAGAACAGAAAACCGCCATTTCGATTTGGGTCAGCCCCCGTGCGAACAGTTACACCTAGATTTTCACAGTGGAATAGTTAGGCAACAAATGGTTAGGCAAAGCATTGCTGAAACCTTCACGTTTTGGAAACACTGATCAACGAAGCCTTAGAAGATCAATAAATTTTAACCTTCACAGACAAATCGTACCAGGTCTGTATTAAGTTTAATTACAATTAATTCTACAATTTGAACCATAAGTTAAGGAAAATTTAATTTAAAAAGCTACTATAGAACCCAGGTAACAGTAATTTAACAGTTATGTCACGTTAAATGTCAATACCTAAAAAATGTGACTCAATAAAAAATATACTAAGAAGATAAGCCCTATGTGTATTATTTCAACTGGTACCTTGAACTGAGTCACTCACACTACTACAAGCTAAACCCATAACCACAATGCCACAATGTTTACCCACCAATATGTGGTTGTCGCATATACAGACTATCCCTAGACAGATTGTCAGTAATGGTCCCAGCAATAAGCCGGTGTGGTTGCGGAACACATCTCCAACCGCAAAAATTCCCGATCCTATGTGACATTTTATCAGGTGGAACAAGGTCTGAAAATAGCTGAAACAGACAAGAGGATTGATTTCACTAGACAAAGTAGAATACTAATTGTATGGTTTATGATTAAATATATATATACACTATTCCGGTAACTATGTCTATTCACACTCTAAAACTGGCCACATATTTAAAATGTGAATGATGTACTTATCCCCGCATAGTCAAAGGTACTCTTTGTTGTACACTTCGCTCATTAAATTTAGACATTTTTAGGGGAATAATCTATTCCCTCCACGATCTTACCATTAAAATAATTGCCCAACAGCTGAGATTTTGCAAATAGCAAATCAGCTGCAATATATTTATTAAGCAAAGTATTAGCGGGGGAAACTTCCCCTCAAACCCCCTAAATTTTGTGTACAGACTATAATATACAATCCTTATGTTGCTTGTGATAATATATCCAACACATATATTTTATCATACTAACAAACACAATTAGACTTTTCATCCCAATGTAAAATCTGAAGATTGTTTTTCAGCTGCTTTATAAATATAAAAGCTTTTGTTTTGTCTACATGATGGTGACACTGGGCAGCATTGGCAAAATGTTGTTACTATTATTGCAGAAATAATAAGAACCAAATCGTAAACAAAAACACGATCCTAGCGGCACTGGACGGAACTAACGATAAAATTGTCAGCTGATCCATAATGATGACAAATCTACTATGACTACAAATCTAATGATGACAAATGTACTAGGGAGTATGTTTTATGAGTATGATATTTATTTATTAATGTTTTATGTTTTTATGTATTTATGTATTTATAAGTATTTATGTTTTTGAGTATGATTTTATGCTGTGATGTACTACTTACGTTGTTCGTTGAGCTACACAAATATCACATTTCTCCTTAACTTCAGGCACAGTGAGGTTCTCACAGTCAATTATTTGAGATTGTATTTTGTCGTCAGTCGCCTCCTCTTCTTTTGTCTGATGCAGAAGCACATAACTCGCATCAAGTTGGAGCATCCCTTTAAACACTACAAAACAGTTAGTTGCACACCCTGTATAAGATGTTATATTTTTCTAACTACTGTGCTACTTTTTTTGTCCTAGGACGCTAGGCACAAGACAAGCCCAGGATTGTTTTTCACATTACTTCAGGCTAGACCTAGGGGTTGCGGCATTTTCACTTAGAAAAAATCCATTGTTGATTTGGCGGGATTTTAACTCAGGACCTCTTGGACCGAAGTCCCGCGCTCTAACCATTAGACCAGATCGCTCCTACTAACACAAAGATGTATTTGTGTGCTTCACTGGCATTTACTTTTTTTGCGTTTTTGTATTTTTATCTTCTAATATTGACCTTTTGTTAGGTAAGGCAAGCATTATAACCACAGCTGGGGGAGCGAACTGGTCTAGTGGTAGAGTGTGGGGCTTCGTTCCCTGAGGTCAGGGGTTCAAATCCCACCAAATCACCAATGGATTTTATCCAAGTGATAATGCCATAGCCTCTAGGTCTAGCCTGAAGTAATGTGAAACAAATCCCAGACTAGTTTTGCTATCCCTTTAAACAACTCTAATATTTTTACAACCATGGAAATTTTTTTGAAGTGACGTACATTATCTGTTGTCTTGAAAATGGCACATGTTTTAGAGTTGTATGTTTGTATGTTCATGTGATAAAAATGAGTTAGATTGTATTCAATTTGGACCACACCAGGGCATGTTTTTAAGGAAGACGAGTTGGATGAATGATGAATGAGATGAACATTTTGTTAAGATATTGGTTCTTTAGCCAGTACCATTAATTTTACCCAATGATTAAGGAAAGCTTGGCCCAATTTGAAAGCACGTAATTTATTGACAAAGTTTTATCAGAGTATGTAGGTTTGCTGAACTCTTTCCTACCTGAAGAAAAGTTGTGGAGAGCCACCGAGAAGCCCCTGTAGAAGCCAGCTGATTTGTGCAACCGACATACATCCCCCCACAACCACTCTAAATTTTGGGAAAAAACGCCGATCACAATGGCACAGGCAGTTTAATTAGTTATAATATAAAAATGATTCATTCACCTGCACAGACTTAACAGCAGTGTTGCTCTTATCTTGTCTTGACATGATTTACAATGTATGCTTGACTAACGGTGGAGAGGAAATTGCATTTTCAAATGGATTCACACTCTTTAACTTATAAGAGTAGAAATGGAAATACTCTTTTGATATTTTTATGGAGGTTTTAAATCGCTTAAGGAAAGTAAATTGCTCAATTTTATGAAGACATATAAAACATATGTCACAAGTAACATCGGAAGTAATTAACTTGCTCTTCATAAGAATAAAGTGGGAGATATCTTGATGAAAAAGTGCATGGTAAAAATAGAATACAGAATATTGGAGTTTATGCTGATCTTAATTATTGCATAAATCTTTTTGAGAAGTTTGAAACCTTTGAGCAAAAAAGGTCAAGCAACAGATTTGTTATTGTAAAATTTCCATCCAAGGATAATAATTTTGTTCTATTTTACTTTACGGTTTTTAATTTTTTTATTACACGAGAAAAAACATTAAATAATTATGTTCACTTTAATACGTGTTGTAAATTAAAGGGACAATGTTGCTTAAACTGAGTTTTATATTAAATAATTCTTTTAATATATTTTTGTTAAAAAATTACCAAGCCAAATAAGCCCGCTAAATAAGTTATGGGTAAATTACTTTTAACCGTGGATAAACTGTTTTATAGTGTTGTTAATACAGTAATGTGTTTTATTGTTTTTCTCACAATTTCATCTCGTAAATTTAGGGTGAAAAATATCACAATTCATAAAATGTATCCAAATACGACCGTACACATTGAGAATCTTGAAAAATACTGTTAAGAACATAGTACTTAAATTTTAAATTAGCAGACTGGAATATGATTAAAAACATTTGAGTGTTTTCACCATATCATTTAGGGTGCTTGCTGCATTGGAAAAAAATAACACATAAACTCTAATCTAAAGATTTATTTACAAAAAAATACTTAATAAATATTCACTATAAAATAAGTAGCCTACATCTAGTTTTATTTACAGTAGACTCCCTCTTATCCGTACTCCTCGGGACTGAGGACAGTCCAGATAACACGTTTTCCGGTTAAATCTACATCTACATCTACTCGTAAAAACGGACCGCTTAAATGTGTATTTGACTTAAATTTATGAGAGCATTGTATTTAGACACGTGATCACTGGTCTCAAATCTTTCCCACGAGAACGGTCGTTTCAGTACCGCCCACTTCCTGCCGATCTAGTCCAGTTAAATAGATGTGCTGATAAAAATTGTCCGGTAAGAGATGTCATTTCCACCAAGTGTAGTCCGGTTAAAAGGTGTCCGAATAAGAGGGAGTCTACTGTATACAAAAATTGTAAAATCTTAAAGAAATAACTAATGTAATAAATTTTGTCATTGTATATGAATTTTATCTGGTCAAATACAGAAAACACCGTTTTTTACATTGGTATAAAAATAAATATCATGAGCTAAAATATAAAAAATTAGAATAGTATTTCTTCACTAGCAACCCTCCAAAAGTAAACCTTTTTTACCTTATTACCTTTACCTTATTACCTTATTACCTCCTCTTCGTCTCTGATTAGCCAGGGCCGGATAGACAGCGTCAAACTTTTATAAAACAAAAACTTTCTTTAATAAAACATATATTTAAAACTTAAGCTTTAGATGGCGGTGGGCGGTCAAGAGTTGGTGCTTCCTCAAAATCTATTTGTGATTACTCGTAGTGCCTGTTTCTGCAAGCGGAGCACACGACTGCTGTCAGCGGCATGTCCCCACAGTTGGATGCCATAGGCCACATGGCTATGAAAAAGCGAAAAATAGACTGTCAACAGGTACTGTGCAGTTATCAGGTGTTTCAGTTTTCTCAAGAGGAAAATTACTCTACTTAGTCTTATACAAACAGAATTTATATGAGGGCCCCACTGTAACTTGGAGTCCAGGACGAAGCCAAGAAGTTTATCTGAGGTTTAACAAGCAAAGAAAAGCCAAAGCTGGAAAAAGCAATGCCTTTCCTATTAAAATAAAATGCGTTTTCTAGTAGTTTATTTATTTATTTAGGAAAATTAAAAGCTTCATGATCAAGTACAGCTGGATCCAGTTATAAACCATTGTAAAACTATACTGACATTCTTCTCATCAGCAACGACTACCATTCTATTTATTAGGCGAAGCACCTTCTTTTCTAATAAGTTAAACACTAACCACTCGGTTACCCGTATTTTAGAAATAACATAAAAACATTGCACTAATGTAAATAACAGCAAAGAAATATGACCCGAAATGAAACCTAATAAAATCAGACGGTACAAATTTTTCAATTAATTACATTTAAATTACTTTTAGCACTGTGTTAAAATGTTTTTATTTGTATGTAATAGTATGTTGTAACTAAGAGAACAGTTAGTTTATGTCAATAGTCAATGAAGTAAGTTATTTATGCATTGTGTAAGTTATTGATGAAACAAAACCGATTTTGGCAAGTAATATTTAGATTTTTTGAAAAAAATTATATTAAAAGCAAAAATGTTATTGAACACACCTATTTCTTGCTCGGTGATAAGCAAGCTCCTACTGTCATCGATTAAAGCTGCTAAATGCTAATATCATAGGTAATCAGCGTAACAATGAAAATAATAGTTACATTTGTAAATTAATCAAAATTCTTACAGTTTTATATCAATAACTACACAACAGTTGGAAAAATTATCCCTAAGGCACATCAAAACGTTATGAAATCTCCAAAATAAATACAAATTCCTCACTTAAATACAATATTGCATTTTTGACTAAATCAATACGCTATTTTACATTTCCGCATAAACTACAAGACAACACTACACTTTAAGTGGGTGAAATTCAACCAGCGTAAGCACAACGATCCACCATGTATACACTTTTGGATCTGAAAACATACATTTTAACGTTAACAAAATCGTTCCATTCTGTCACGTGCCCGTCTGACCAAAGAATGCTACAAAGATGTCGTGCAGACTGAAGTACGATCCAGTGAGGAAGCCGATGAGTGCGAGGGTGAGGGAGAGCACGTCGAAGGCGTAGTTCGGCCCCGGAGTGCGGCCGTAGTGCAGGGCGAGGTCGCAGAGAGGGGGAAACACTAGTGCGAGAGCTGTACTACTGACAGATCCGAGCAGAGAGATGAATAGTCCAAGGTGTGGCACTACCTCAGCTGCGATGACTGGGAACAAATATATTAAAAATCAATCACTTCTTGTGTAATTTATTTATGTTTGAAACTAACTATAGTAATTTTAATTTTAGTGTCCAGTAATAAGTGTGAATATTGTGAAGACCCTGAAACTGGCTGCATCCTGCGGCAAAGTAGTGTTGGTCAGATTACATTACAAAACTGAACCACAAAGGTGATGGAGTAATGTAATGACATCATCAGTACAAACACCTAGCCAAAGCTGGGAAATTACAAAATAAAAACATTTGGAGTAGATAGCTATACCAAAACAAAAAAATATATTCTTCAAATAACACATTTTGAAACTTGTCTTCAAGTTGTTACCCATTAACTTTAACTTTGGTATTGTTACAATATAGCATGCTATAGTCGGTTGGGACAGTAACTGATATATTGTATAGTATTGCGATATCTATCGTAATAGCTATATAGTTTCATGAAATAGTTTTCAATAAGTCTTCAACTTAAGATATTATTGCCTCAACGTCAATCTTATATGAAACAAATATGATGATCTCTCAAAGATGCAGCATGTAATAAAGTGGAATCTTCCCCCAATCATCTGAGTTTTAGACATAGGCCAAGTACTACTCTTGGGGTATCGCCATGGGAGAAGTAGTAGTAGAGTAGTTTATAAATGATGAAGTCTCACATGTGACAAGAGCCAGACAGAAGCGGACGCAGAGCTCTGCCTGCACAGGTCTCTTGAATGGTCCGTGCTTCCTGTTGAAGTCTGGCCACACAAAACAGACAGCCACGTGGAACTGTAGAGCATAGGAGAAGAGTAACCCTACGGCTATGGTGAGCTGGACCACCTCAGAGAACCTGAAATGGAAAGCTATATAGATAAAAGGATAATATTTTTTCCCTGTATTAGATTCAGAAGTGGCTGCTGGAAAATGGAAAATTGGATGATGAAAATATTTTTCCTACCACTGCATGCTGGAAAATGATCACATTGTAAACAGTACGCAAAATAGATCATTTCCGCTATCATCATCAGTAATTTGCATGGACCCAATCTCTCCCTAGCTTCAAATTCAACGGTTCATTTTCATTCTAAAAATATAGTTACAACTTGAATACGAGAATGGAATGTCTCGTTCGGTCCGCAGGCAACAATGCTACTCACACACTAGCTGGAGGCAAGTTGAGCGTAAGGCTGCCCTCCACATCCTCTCCATACTTGAGGTATCCAACGAAACCCATCCACAGCAGAACACATCCGACTAATGACATTCCGACGTTCAGCACCCCGAACCAACCTCCGAACTTGTCTGGTTTCTTCATCTCACTTTGGAGTGGTAAAACCTGCACACAAACATCGTGGTTAAAAATATTATGATTAATTTCATATAAAACAGAACCTATCAGGAGTTCAAGTTTTAACAATCATCAGCAGGATGCCATCAAACCGCTCTGTTATTAATATGTAGCCTGAATAAACTATAGTGAAGCATTGCTAAATGGCCAAATTATATCAACATTTATCGACATTGTACACGCAACAACAAATTTTTCTCATGAAAAATAATATGCTGTAATCGATATAGTATGTTGTGCACTTGAATATCACACTATTAAATCACATAGAACATTGCTGGGTAGCTGAGTGGCCATTGGGATACTAGTCCCTGACTAAATTAATAATCATCAGCTGATCAAGTTCCAGTAATAAATCTAACATCTCGCCCATTCAACCAGCATCCTTTTTTCATATTCCTAAAGTACACACCCTTTTGTGTTGGGATCAGACAAAATCTAATATATCAGTATTGTTACTTACAATTTGAAAATAATTTGTCTTTTAAATAAATCAACTAATAGATTTTCTACAATAAAGGACTATTACAGTACAAAAGTTATGTACCAAAATAATCTACAGTAAAAAATTACCAAACCGATTCCTTCGAAGCAGTAGATGGCTGTGCCGAAGAACAGCGGCAGCCTATCAATAGGAGCGATGGCAGGCCTGGACGATACGGGAGGTAGGTCGTGCATGGAGATGTACATTGTCAAGAACACTCCTAGGCCAGTCAGAATGTTGGCCAGCACCGAGAACGGAACGAGGAACTTGAGGGAACGAACCATCGCAGTAGACACCATCGGAATGAAGATGAGCGCCATGAGTACGTGGACATCTACATGGTGACCGTAGTGTTCCAGGATCTGAACAGGTTGTTTATACAGTAGATTCAAGAGGCATTGACTGTCATATTTTGCTATTGATATAATTTGTTTTTCACGATATCGTGAAAAAGATGAGGTGAACTTGAACACCTATGATATCTATTGATAGAACTAAACATTCTGTTACCACGTTAAAGTTGTTTCCATTATTTTAATCTAATTGAAAAACTGATGTCATCGCAGTTGATTTGAGCCACTGACAGACGACACTGCGGTAGATTACTGATCTTCATCAAATTAGTTGTGTAGTGGGGCAGGAAAGTGTGGGTACAGCGTTGCCGCACTGCTTTTTTTAAAGAAACTATAAGCTACCAATATTTTCCGCAACGGTGGTGAGTGTCCCTGCACTGGAAGGTTTATGACTACACCTCTGTGTAAAATACTCCAAAGTTGTAACCAAGTCAAACTGATAAGATGGCTTACTGTAAACTAGAATTGTTTTTTTTTACATTAAAATAATATTCTACAAACACATTCTTTGGGTGGCACAGTTGAACTCTTTTCTCATTGCAAAACTGGCTAACAAATGCTAAGAGTAATATTAAATAAAAATGTTTAAACAACTATTGAATTTTAAGGTAGTATCCTCTATTGGATCACCAACAAATATTGAAAATATGGTGTAAATACTTACTTCCTTTTGATAGTCTCTTAAATTGCTCTGAGCATCAAATTTGTGTCATGTGAAGAGACACAGAATGAATCCTAACTTGTTTAAGGTATCTCAGTAACCAGTGTTGGGGAAGCTACTTTTAAAATGTAGCTAGCTACAACTACTGCTACATTTCCAAAAAAGTAGCTTAGCTACAGCTACAGCTACAGTTCCGAAAAAGTAGCTAGCTACAACTACAGCTACAATGAAATGTAGCTACAGCTACAATTTTAGCTACTTTTCCAAAGACGTTACTTTTTATTCCACGCACATTAGGTAAATGTAAAATTAATTGCAATAACATTTTTATTGAACAAACATTTAAACAAGAAATGTCAGTATTGTATCTAACATTACTTGGAAAACAAATTATTCCTAGATTTGATTTAATTTGTTGGCATTATAAACCTAACATTACAATAACAGCATCAAATAATTGGGTGTCCCATCATATTTAGTACTTATTTTTAAATATTGCATTATAAGTTCAAAGGACATACAACCAAACTATATTTTAAAAGCTCATTTTATTTCTTTAATATAGATTTATTTATAGATGTCTTATATCAACAATTAAGACCACTTAAACTGTAAAACGATTATTTAAAAATACTTTTTTGTGTTACAGAGCCTAGCCTATTGAAATTGGAGTTTATTACCTTCCTTTACTTTTAATGTTAAAAACGACATTGCTATAACTTTTAACCATAGTGATAAGTTACTTGTTCTCTATGAATAACACTTTTCAATGTCAAGAAATCGTCCTTTATTGTCATTATGCATAGGGCAAGTGCTTCAACCTAGTTGGTACAGAAAACAGTATTCAGCAACTTATCCTGAAATCGGCTTTTAATTTAAACATGTTGAAATTTGTAAAGTAAAAATAACATGTAGGCCTACTTGGCTACGTAACAAGTTGGCTATAGTAGCTTTGTTCTTGCAAGGACTAAACAGATATATTCCTAATAATTGAACTTGGTATTCGTTTTAAGCCCTAGCATAGCCTAGGAATAGTCCAATACAAGAGCTGTTAGCAGGAGCAAACTATGCTATTTTTTAAATGTAAGTTTCATGTTATATGGAGATTTTTTTGTTACAATTATCATGTAGTCTAGGCATATCTTAAATCTCATCAGGTAATTTCCTCTTTGTTAATTTAGTAAACCTTAGAAAAATCTTTGTAATCTAACCAAGGAAGGGCTTGTGATGATGAACCACAATCAACAGCTGAAGCAAAGGTTGATAGACCAGCTTTCACATTATTTTAAGGTTGTTGGTTTTCATTAAAACCCTAGTTAAAACACTATCGATATAACAAAGAAACTAAATTGATTACTAATTTCCCTGTCAATCACTTGCAAGCGTTCAATAGCTTGTATTGTCACTGGTACCGGTAACGTTTAAACGTCGTCTGCATGTAGCGATTTTATTTTATCTGACAGTAATCATAGAGTAGTAAATTAAGGAAATGAGAGCTAAAAATGTGGATAACACTCATTTAATGGTCTCCATGTCCACACAACGTTGTAATAGGGAATGACACGGCTGCAACCAGCTGTATGAAGCCAAGAAAGTAGGCCTAATTGTTTTGAAAATCTCAGTCTCAGTTTGAAAGATGTTGTTTCACGTAAGGTTAAGGTTATGGTAAAAATCACTATCTCAAACAATGTAAATGTAGCGAGAAAAGTAGCTAAAATTCCGCTACAACTACTTTAAAAACGTAGCTAGCTACAGCTAAAGCTACAAAATTTTAAAAGTAGCGACGCTACAGCTAACGCTACAAAAAAAGTAGCGCGCTACTGTAGCGTCGCTACTTGTAGCGCGCTACTTCCCAACACTGTCAGTAACCGATGTAAGCAATTAAAATAATTTGTCATCAGAGGTACATCAACTTAAATCATGTGACTTACTGTTGTTAGTGTTGATGATATGAAAACAAAGTAAACCGAACAAAATCCCAGCTGAGCAATGATGTTGAAAATCTTCACCAGCAGTCTGGAAAAAAACAATAATACAATAATTATAATGTGATAATTGAACGCTATAAATTCCAATCCCTCTCAGCCCTACCAAAGCGAGCAATCTGTTAGGTAGCCTACAGAGGAACCATTCAATGTGGTACACTTAAGTCTAGTAGTGGTACTGGTGTCTTGATAGCCCCGCCCCCCTCATGTACTACATCGCTCACGGTGTATGAAGACCCTGTTCCGTGCAGGGTGGGAATTTCCACATAGTGCTCACAACTCGGGCTCTTCCTGCGTTTGAATCTGCTAGTGCCTACCACAGAGCCTAGGAGCGCTGCTGTTACCTTAATTATTTTAAAGTACTCAAAAAGAATTAAGGTATGTTGTGCCGGAAATATACTTGTGACAAGCAAGGAAGAGCCCAGGAGCAAGGACTGAGTGGAAATTTCTATCGCACAAGGCACACAGTACCCTCCCCCCCACAGTGAGTGTTGAAGTACATGAGGGCAATGGGGGGCGGTGTTGGACTTTGCCCGACGTGACATCAGCGACTAGTGCTAGACACCACTTAAGTGTAACACATTGAATCAGAATTCATATTGTCCTACTTCTGGATATTGCTCATATTAATAAAATGATTTAGTTACCTTACAATATCCTTGTTTGTTGTTGGTAATTGCTACATGTTTCAGGGCAACTACCACATCATCAGGATTAACTTCTTCTCAGGTTCATTGTTAACTTAATATTGAAAACACAGGACACTCGTACATTTAACAAAAGACATAACATTTATTTGATCAACCGTCGTGGTGTAGCTTACTAGCAAAACAAACAAGGATATTGTAAGGTAACAAAATCATTTTATTAGAACCATTGAATGTTTTATCAATTATATCAATTTGTGTTATATCAATATCAATTTGAAGATGGGGACGCCACTATGTGCATATTTTAACTCAAATATGAGAGAAGGATGTTCCCCCTACCTTACTTTTCTGAGAACCCTATACATTTCACTTTTCTCTCTTATATTTGGTAATTGATACTCAAACAAACCTGATAGTTTTTGAGAAGCGACGGAAGTATCGTGGACCCGTTTGGAAGGCCCACTCCATCGTGTCAGGAAACGTAGGATATACTTTCAGGTTACGCCGCTGAGCTAACTCTTTAGAACTGTTGATCTGGAAATGAGCAATTATTTGAGCAAATTCAAATTTTACAGAAATTAACTTTGTTGATTAGTTATTTTAGTACTGATAACTTGATTCAAAAGATAACAATAGAAACGAAAGTACTGTTTAATCATAAAAGTACTATAGGTAGTCCACCTACTATTTGTGTTAGAGCAAACTATAGTTAATTCTCTCAGAGGGTTACCAGTTAAATCCTGAAAAACATCAGTATCTTTTTGATGGTTTAAAACTGGACCCATCTATCCTTGGCCATTATGGGCTTTTAATGGTTTTGGCTAAAGAAACAACCAATCTATTAAGTAACATTATAGCTGTCATCTCATCCTTTTCATCTTTCCTTAACATACGCGCCTATACAGTTGTATTGTATGAATCTTATCTACCGAAGGACATCACTAACCAAGACGTGATTCCCGTAAACACAAATGACTCCAAGGAAGACTGTCAGCACGGGGCCGAGCATAAGACCTGCGTTCTTGAAGGCATCTCCCATTGCAAACATTCCAGATCCTATGTTTCCCTTGATCAAGTGGAACAGGGTCTCAAAGAAACTGAAACAAAATATTTGTGCTATAACTTTATGTGAACCATGTAAACAATTTAACACAACACCATAGGCGTAAAATTTTAGAAAGAAATTGTTCAATTTTATGTTTTGGGGGGCAAAAATGGGACTAACAAATTTTTATCCTATACCCCGTTCACACAGTCCAATCATGCTGGTTAGCAAACTCATTTCAACAAATTAGTTTAAACGTCTGTAATGAGTTTTATTAAAAGCATAACACTTATGAGAGGTAATTACTTGAGTTATCGTGCTTCTGGATGTATAATTGTATAATTACATTGTTGTATTGTATTATACAACAGTATATGAATTTTAAAGGATTGTGTTTGTTCACTTGGGATATCAAAATAATAAAGTAATTCGGTCCTGGGTCCAGATCTTACTCTGAGACCTACGGTAATAGCTTATTTTTCCTATATGGGAAACTTTCTAATATTTTTCAATGAGGAATGATATTTCAACATTTCTACTCACGTAGTAGGGTGACGAACCCCCATACCGTGTTCATCATTGACTTTGGTGTTTTCTAATTCCATCTCCGAGAAGTTGATCACCTTAACATCACCGTCTGGGTGAGGCTTGTCAAGCAAGGGTTTGGTGTTTGGTCCTTCATTGGCTGCGGTTGCTATATCAGCCATTGTAACTGAAATTATTGAACACAATAGAAGTAGGAATTAAAAACAATAGAAAGTTTATTTAAATAAACCTATAAAAGATTTTTGAGAACTGACTTCATCAATGATTCAGGAGTGGGGGCAAAATTTCTTTTGTTTTAAATACGATAGTACCTACAAAATAATGTGCATTACAAACAATTTTACTAGTAAACTGTCAAATTATACATTATTGAAGTTAGAAATACATAGAGTAATCAGGATCCAAGTTTATTTAAACTTTCATTAGAATACTCACAGAACTGTTTAGTTCAATGATTCAAGAGTGAGGGACTGCAATGAGAATTTTACTAATATGAGGAGTTAGAAGAGAAATTAGAACTAAGATGAGAATAATAGATTTTAAACATTCTTATAGACTCCCAAGAATACAATACCAAAACCTTAACAACAAAAATAACTTATACAGAAAAAATTGGAAAAGTTTGTGGTCGAAGCTTGAAAATTTCTTAGTGGGCTTTTCAAACTTCAAATGATTTTTAGGTTGATTTTTGTAGAGTTTAATTTAGATTCAATGCATTCTTAACACAATAAAGTTCTACTTAACGAACAAATAATACTAAACTTACCTAATATGCTTCAATAAAATACAGTTGATGGTAAAAAAAATAAACACTTTCACTCAATGATTTTTTTCACTCACCAGTCTAGAAGATAATACAGATGATGATTTTGATATGTCCAATTAAAATTCTCTTCCTTTGTTCCGGTTCACCAATAACCCCTTCAACCATGCTAAAGTATCACTTTTAATGATAAGATTATGAAGGCCTTGATTGGATTACTTGAAATTACTAGAGATAGTATTGTTGTGAAGTGTTTTTTAACATAATTATAACTTGATGAACACGCTTTGTTCTCCATATTGACCGTAGTAAAAAATTACCTTAATTTAGTTTTCCTACAGTTACCTAACAATGTACATGTTCTCTCACTGATTTGAGAAAGCAAAGTGGCCAATTCGCTCATCAGTGAGACAATGTTAACATTGTCTCACTCTAATTACTTTGTCTCACTCCAGATTTACTCATATTTGGGTTAAAATACGCACCTAGGTGGCGTCCCCATCTCAATAATTGATTGATTGATTGAATTTGCAACGTGAATGCACGAAATAGTGAGCGCGCGTAACATGCAGGCAACGTCATGCGCGCGAAATAAGTTGGCAGCACTGGCTGTAAATCAGCTGGTCAGCTGTTGTACTGTTGTATTTGTCACTTCACATTAAATGTTATATTAAAAGTTCACTTCTGTGTAAAAATAGGTTATGTTTCTTCACCAATTTATTTGTTTTATGGTAACTGTAGGAAAAGTATAATGTGCAACTTGAGTTCAAAGTACAATTGCCTCACTCGAAAAACCATTCCTCACTCGCCTACGGCTCGTGAGTAAGGATTTCTCTCGAGTGAGTCAATTGCTCACTTTTCTCACTAGTTGCACAAATAACTATTGTTTTTGTGATAAATTAAAAAAAACTACATTAAAATTATATAGTAGCTTATAATTGTTGCTTAGATGATTTTATAAGTATTCAGTATTATGTGTATTTTAATTTAAGCACCGACAAAACTAAATAAGTTTTAGGTGGTTCAGCAAAAATTCACTAAGCGTAATTAGAGAAAATGTTGCTACATATTACCATTCAATCTACTTTTTTGATCTTAATCGCTCATTTTTGTACAAAAAATTGCCTTTATGCATTAGCAGGTTGAGAAGAGGTAAGCTACATATTTGTATAAGTGAAAGCTTAAAAAAAACCTTACAACTTTTTAAAGCCTAAAGATTGTAATGTCAAAAAGCAGGGTCCATCCCAATACTTTAAGGGGGTCCATCCCTCATGTATTGACCGTAATGGCTTTTACCAACCTTACGATTAAATCCCAGTTGGTCAGTCTCTTTGAATACAATAAAAGTGAAAATAAAATTAATAATTCACAGATAAAAGTTCATTATCTGAGAAAAATCAAAGCACTGAACTCTAGCTTATCATAAAACAAACAACTGCGTGTGGCACTTTTGTTTATGTTTGTATGGTGGGCGAATAAAGTCAGAACTATTTTGATTCACGGCAATGCATTGTCTTCTCAAGATTCTATTTTATTGGCTACGTGCCAGAGATGATTTGATGGTCCACATGTGGATTTTGCATGCCTTGACATGTTTTGTAACAAAAATAACAAACTCTTATAAAGTATCAACAAAAAGTCCCTTTTTTGAGGGGATGTGTGGTTCAGCGCATCCCAGTTTTATCAATTATCTACAATCACCAAGTAAATATTTTAATATTACAGTTGTTTTTTTTTTTTTAATTAGTTATTTATCTGTTTCCAAACTATTCATCCAAAATAATCAAAAACTAATGAAAAATGTTATAATTTCATAATTTATTTAAGCTGTTTTCTATATCTAGACAAAAATTCATACACAAAAATCCAAGAGAAAACCTAGCTTATTATCGATGAGAACACTTATCCTAATCCTTCATTAATTCACAGTTATTGTGTGACCTGAAAAACATTGAAGTGTTGTTTGTACATCAAATTACATTACCATTGGTAAACATTTTTTGTTTATAAAAATAGTGTTAACCCTTTTATTTTAACAGCTTGTACTATAAATTAGATAAAAATAATCTTTTGATTGATAAACAACTTGTGGGATTTTGAAAACAAATAAATTAAAACGTTACTTAAAGCAGGTGTAACACTAAATACGTAATACATTTTGCCTAGTCATTTACTGAAACTTTTTTTTTTTTTTTATTAGTTTGAACATATTGTCAATCAATATACAAAGACAAAGAACCTAACTTAAGCAAATTATATTATTAACAACAATACCTGTGAATCAGCTGTTCACTTTCTACTAAATCTAGGCTACACAGAAGTGTGGTCTAGTTTACCACAGACTGGGAACTGTGTGTTGTGGACCACTATCAAATGATCAGCTGGACTAGAAATAGTGGAGGGGAACATCTGATTCATTGAGAATTTGGAAAACTTGTTTTCGGTTATGGTGCTAATGTGCTAGGTGTGCTATTTCATCCAAAACATGTAATACATTATTTTTTTGTAGGTATACAAAAAAGATTATTGAATAGTAAAAAGGGTTAGATTTTGCACCTGATTTTGGAAAATTAAAATTCATCCACAACTTTTTGGAAATTAATATGTATCTTTTATAGGTATTTGAAAAGTTATTCGATTGTAATTATTATGGTTTACGGTATTGTCTCAAAATCACCCAGCAATTCTTTTGGCCGAATATGTATGGTGATCTTCATAAACATGATAATATTCAGTTTCAAATACTACACTGGGAACTAAATTAATCCTATTATTGTGTTTTCTTAGCAACCAGACTTGCAATAGATATTTTTTTACTCCAACCATTTCTCGTAATTATTTAGTAAAATAATTGATCTGTTTTTGCTCAAATATTTTTTTAACAAGATCATCAAAATGAAAAATGCTTTGTATGTTGATAAAAAAGTAATTTTAACCCATAAACCACATTGTTTTAAACATATATCATCCGATCATGATGAAAAAAATTTTTTGCTCTTATGCAATTTTCCAATGTATTCTCCGTATGTAATAACTATTATAATCAAAGATATGCAATATTATTTTCCAACTTAACTTAGAGAAAGTGAAAACCTTACCCTAGTAAGCACAAGAGATGGTTTGTTGGTGTCAAGCATTTGATAGATTACAACCAGATGGTATATATGAGTTTGTGACGGCCTTTTTGAACATGTTACATCTCATTTTATCTCCACACCCTTTTAGAGGTCACATATGGTGTTAAGACTCATTAATAGAGGTCAAACAACTGTTGTTTTTTATAAATCTCCCACCTTCAATTTAGTAATCTTGGTGGGGCTTATGATTTCAGTGTAAAAGAAATCAATTTGTAAAATGGTTTCTTCTACAGTTGTATTTAGTTAATTTTAAGTGTGCATAAAATAGGCAGAGGGAATTGGAATACATAGTAAAAATTTTGATTATTCCAAAATAGAATGTAACCAGTTTTGAAAACAGCTGACATAAAACATGGTATTTTCTGGAGCTTTTCCTTTTAATTATCAGCTGTTTTCCCTTGCTCTTAATTTACTTCCCTTTCCATTAATCAATTTACATTGGTTTGTAATGTTATGTGTGTGTGTGTTTTTGTGTCATCAATATACATAGAATTGCTTATGACTTGTACTGAAGGAGCTTTTCATCTGGCCCTTAAATTTTTTTCCTGTTGTCAGCTTGTAGAAGCAGTTTAATCTTCATATTATAATTTTTATTCACATCTTTTACTAATGTATCTTTATACCATAGCTTTCTATTTGGGCTTTGTCACTTTTGTCTCGCTGCGGCCTTATATTAGAATGAGGCTATGGTTTCATACTGATGTTAAAATTGTATAATAAAGCCCATTTACTTATAAAACAAAAACATTCTATTCCTTCACGTCATGACTGGCTTACATAGGCCTACTAATAGTGGTAATATTTTATGAGAGGTAACAAAAACCATAGTTTGGTTTTAAATGAAACATATAAGTTTATTACATTTTCAAAACAAACCTACATGTATAAGTACATTTACAGTAAACAAATGGTGCATTGCATCTTTTTATAAAAAACAAATAAACCTACAAATACAAAATATTATAATACAAATTAAACACATATTTTTACAAAGAAGTACCTATGTATAGCTTATCTATAACTTACTGTGCCTCTAATTAGTAAACTAGAGGTCATCCAGTGGTCGAAAACTCAACCAAAAAAATGTAATGTACAGACATCTCTTTTTTTCCCTACGCTGTAAATTATAACATGTGATGGGAATTTCTTCAATTTGTTTTCATTTTCTGTGTACATTTTGTCACCAGCATAAGCAACCCATAAGGACCATGTAAGTTTTTTTTAATTTTAAATTAATTTTCTGTTATTATTTTTTAGCCTATTTTAATTTATAAAGGGATTCTGCACATCTAAAGAAAAATATCTTTCTAGCAGCATGAGTAGATTTCCCCTGTGATGCCTACGAGCTGAGGAAAAAGGTTTTTAAGAATCATTCTTGCTCATTAATATATAGGATTTTTGATATATAGGATCTCTTCAACAAGATCTAGTGACTATTTATTTAAAATAGCTCCCTTATTAAATTGAAGATTACGACTGTCATTTCTATTTTATCTTTTTTGATCAATTAAGTTTTAGTTTAATAAGATAACCCCCCCCCCCCCAGACACCACGTTTGCATTAACCACAAGTGATGGGATCAAGTTGAGAAGGAAATAAGGAGACTGGCAGGAAGAAAGAGGCTAGAGTTACAAATGGTTATAAGTTATAAATGGGTTATAAGTTATAAATGGATGCATTGCTTGGAGGAGTGGCCACAGAAGTAAGTTTTAAAATTAAAAAATCGATGAAAAAATCTTCAAATTGACTAAGCAAATTTAGGTACTATAGTTCGGACGCTTGGAAAGCGACCTCCTCCAGCATTGGTTTAGCATTAGCGCGCAGGTCGTTTTCTAAGCGGCTGAACTATATAGGTATCAAAATGTGTAAAATAATAATTTTGCACCGCAATTAAAAATTCTCTGGACCCTTGTCTTTTAAGAGGTTACTTTAAACAAACCCCATCAGACACCCCAGCTCGCTTTATGGGAAATATATGGACACCCATGAGTCCAATGTTAACAGAGCTTCCTGTGAGTAAAGAATTCTCACTTTTTAACAATCTTTTGTGACAAATACCCTTTAACACTAACTCTCTTCTGTCGATGAACCAAAAGCTTGTACAATATGGACTAAACTGAAATAACTTCCGGTGCAGAAGCCAAAGAAGGCGATGATGAGTGTGAGATAATCCACCATTTTACGCCAGCCGAGGAAGCCAAAATCTCCGTCTAGCTGGCGCATGCTTATATCACAGAGAGGGGGGAACACCAGCGCTAGCGCCGTGCTGCTGACTGCGCCAACCAGCGAGATGAACAAACCCAGGTCTGGGATGATCTCCGACAGTATGACTGGGAGAAACAGTGGTAAAGTTAATGAAAGAAATAATAAATTTAAACATATTGTCCTTTTTTGGACACAGTTCTAGATGTTGAAAATGGTTTTAAAATTCCAAACCTTCTGATGGGACCCCCAGGACCCATTCTTTCTTGGGGGGTGTGAAAACCCCCCTGGTAGCCCCCCCCCAACCATGATAAGGTCCTAGAATCACTACTGATAGTGAACAGCTTTGAACTATAAACTCAGAACTCTTTCCTGAAGACAATTATGAAAAGTAAGTGTTTAACCTATAAACTATATTTTTACTGAGAGTCAATAAGGACTTCAAAATTCTATTTTAAAGACCTAATATCAAAACTGTGATCAATACTATAGCAATCACAGCTCTTCATCAAACAGATCATAAAAAAAGATATTTTGAATCAACTTTTACGAGTAGGCCTACATGGTTGTGCCACTACTCATTCAACTACGCTGTATACTCACATGTAAGAAAGCAAAGCACCAGCCTGAGGATGATTTCATATTTAGCAGATTTGTTGAAAGGTCCCCATCGTTTGACCACAGCCGGCCAGATCAGGGCTACGGGAACGTAGAACATGATCGGATACGTCAACAAGATCCCGATGGCTGTGGCGATCTTGACAAACTGTGATAGACTGTAAAAATATTTGTTATTTTTTAAAATTCAAAGTTATAGTAAAATTTAAAAAAAACAAAACCATTTATTCCATCTAACAAACTAAAAAATCATGAAACATGGGCTATATTCTCATTGCACTGTGAGTATACCTAATCGCCTAACTGAACACTTTCTTTGAGGATCATAAAAGGACCAGTAATACAATGTATGGGTGTATCCCTACAACGTATTTAGGTACTTTAAATTTGGAAAAACCCGGAATACCTACCCAACTAACATTACTTTTCACTAAACAAAGGCACAATATTTAAAACACTTGGATTTGAGTATATATGAGCATAACATCTGCATGCAATTTTATTTATAACATATCCATAAGCAAAAGAATAGCTTTTAATGTAAAACAGTTAGAAAAGTTTCTCAGTGACTTTTCCTTAAAGACTTAAAATGATTTGAATATCTTCAGGCTTAGTTCGATTATGTTCTTTATTGGAAATTCATCAGCGTATGTTACTTTGTCAGTTTTACACAACAAAAATTTTTTTTATCTTGTCCTTACATAATTGAATTAAGTGTTACCACTGTTACCGTTAATAAATAATTCATAGATATTAATCTTCTTCAACTTTCAATAATTAGAAAAATCACGGGTAAAACAACACTGAGATTCGTCAGTGGATAGTACTTACTCACTGTCAAAAGGCAGATTGAGGGTAAGGCTTCCCTTTACATCTTCTCCATACTTGAGGTATCCGATGAAGCCGACGATGATTTGCAGTACAGTTACGATGATGTTGCCAACATTTAGAACCCCAAGAGGACTATCAAACTTCTCAGGGCTCTCCATTTCAGTTTGTAGAAGTAACACCTAACAAATACAAATTTTTATACATATTCGTGACAAGATTTTACATTTTTGATAAACACTTTCATTTATTTGATGTATCCTGTCTGACTGTTCTCATAATCAGATCAGTGACCTTTTGATTTCTCGGCAGGCACTACAATCAGCTACCTTAGCTATTCAATCAAACTCCAATTGGGAGATATTCAACAGTTGATCCTCCCAAAGTTGTGTTCCAAATGTCTTTTTTGTAGCATATAAAACCATCCTAAACTGGTATAGTAAAGGACTACTACCAGAAGACCAATCCATGGTTGGTGGGTTTTAATTTGTTTCGGTGATTACAACACTGACTGCTTAGTCCATCAAACAGTTTCTAGTGAAATTTCTTGATTAACATTTCTCCATGTCCGCAGCTGAAGAATTGGTTTTTGTTTTGTTTTAATCTGAAACTTCATCATCAAAATTTTTGAATATTAGCTTTTATGTAATTAGCTTTTTTAAGAACATAGGTGTTATGTAGAGGCTTTCGCCCATCTAAATGTTAGTCTAAATGCCCAACAGGCTCTTCATTATGTAGATAAACGGATGGGGCATTAGTGTTATTAGAATAGGATGGATCATCCTTCAAACTTAAACTACTTATTTAAATGGAAAATTGAGAAAAGACTATTGCAGCAAATATATCCATTCAAAATCAATAAAAGGCCTTCCAAAATTTATTCATGCTCTCATATTTAGCTTAAAGTACACACTCAAGAGTGTGTCGCTGTTTTTAAGCATTGATAATTTTGACCTTGAATGTTTGAATTTTAAAACAAAGTATGGCAAAACATTTAGCTACCGATCATACTAGTGGTTACGTACTCTCTACAAGTAACTTACCAGGCTGATGCCCTCGTAGGCGTAGATGATAGTCCCGAAGAACAGCGGCAGCTGCACCCAGGACGGCAGAGCGTACCTAGAACTGATCGGGGGAAGATCCTGACTGCTGATGTAGATGGTCAGGCCGACACCAAGGAACATTGTGGCTGTGGCAAACAATGATACTGGTGCGAGGTACTTGAGGTTGCGTATAATGATGAAGCCAAGGAGCAGAGCCAGTGTGACCAACATGTTCAGGTGGATCTCTAACTCGATGCCGAAGTTGTGTAAGATCTGGAATGGGAAAAAGTAAAGCATGTTAGTTTTGTATTTCATGGTTTTGAATACTATTTCATGGTTTTAAATATAATTTCAATTTATTTTAAATACATTTGAGACACATGTTTGTCTCAAATTTGTTTGTTGTTCTTAGCAAGGATACAAGTAATGTTTTAGTGTTCATGAGAAACGAGGATTAGGATACCGGTATTCAAAATTTAAAATTATTTTTTGAGAAGGCTGTTCTGTTTGATTTGGTGAAACAGTTTGTGTATTTGACAGAAATCAGTAATTTAGATCACCACAATTTGTTGGTGATTCACATCAACAACAACGTTTTTGATTGAAAAACTGGGAACAACTTTACCATGGGGAAGTCTAGTTAATTGTTTTAATAGTCAAAGATGAACAACTACTGTAACAACCAATTTATTTACTTGTATTTAGTTCAGCCTGCAAAACGCTACTTTCTATCCTAGCGTTAAAAAAATATTCATTTGCCTACATTAAAAACTAGGAAAAAATTGTATATTGTTATTATTTACCTGATGGGTTGTGCTGGTGACAAAAACCATGTAAACACAGCAGAAGCCCAGCTGTGCAACAATGAGGAAGAAATTTACAGCTGATCTAAAAAACATTGAGGGAAACAATTAAAACATTGGATTAATGTTTTTCTTTATATTTTATAAATGTTTCAATAACCACAAATTTAATGTAAATTTTCTGAAAATTAACAACCACCAATTTCTAAGAGTCAATAATTCAGATATCTAGGCGTTGTACTGTCTGACGTATAAATATAGATAAGACATAGAAATTCAGAATAGGATAAATGCAGCAAATAAAAGTCAGTGTGCATGTGGAAAAATAATTGAATCATTTATTCATATTTATTTATATTTATTATATTATCATTTATTTGATTTATCAAAGGAAACCCAAATTAGAATAATGTAGATACAAGAGAATAATTAATTATACCAGTAGTTTTATATGGAGGGAAAAATTTGATCCTGGACAAGAACATGGAAAAGAAGATTACAACCTTTGAGAATAAAGTTCTAAGAGCCCTATATATGGTCCAGTATGTGAAGATGGAGTATGGAGAAACCGCCACAACCGAGAGTTAAGAGAATCATTCCAAGACCCCGATATTGTAGGAGAGACCAAAAGCAGAAGGCTAAGGTGGATTGGCCATATCTTGAGGAGAAATGAAGAGAGATTGTTGAAGATGAGCTAAAGGAAGATCTGAGGGGAAGAAGACCAGTAGGAAGGCCAGGTGGTGGGATCAAGTCCGGAAAATATATGGAAAAAATGAGACTAGTAGAAAAAGATTTGGAGGACCGAGAGAATTGGCAACGTGTTGGCAAGGCCAAGTGCCAGCTTGGGTAAAGTGGCCATGGAAGTAAGTAAGTAAGTAAACCACATATTTAGCCCATGACTGGAGAAGAGAAAATTCTGCCAAAAGACATCTGCCAGAGGGTGCACAAAATAAGGGATTTCCATGAGTGAAAACTACTGTTAGAGATCAGTACGGTTAAGTCTTCAAAATTGAAATTTGGCTCTTCAGTTCAGTCCATACTAAGGTCCATACTTTTTACTTAATATACTACATGTTTTAATACTTAAAAGTAAAACAAAATAAGTGTGTGTTGTACTTTGTTAAATGTTTGCGTTATCACTTTTTACCATAGAGATGACTTTTATTGGTGCAACACTCATTTTTATGGCTGAAGGGAGTTGAGTTAATTCTCAAAAAACCATTGATTAACCAAAAATATTATAAAAGTTAACCTACAAACTAAAAAAAGTCAACTTATGATGACTTTATTAAGAACTATTTTACAATTAGGGACTCTAAAAATGTTGTGTGTTAACGTTTTTAATGAAAAACACACATCTAATTTAAGAACAGTAACATTGGCTGAAGACTCATTCAGTGCAGCGTCAAATTACCAAAGTGTCAGAATACGTGTCTGATTAAGATGTGCCAGAACTTAACTAGATATATTTAGTTATTGTTCTTCAAACTCTCAAAAAACAATTTGTCAGTGATCTCACTGATTTCTCCTTGTAGTGGTTTTGATACAAAGTGTTTCTTACTTACTTTCCCCGGGAGGCGTACTTCTGGAATATCGGAGGTCCAGAACTAAAACAGAGCTCCACTGTTGTGTCATAACCTGGGTAGTAGTTCAATTTGTACTTCTCCCTCACCGCAGTGGCACAGTTCACCTGATAATGAACAAATTAGATAAACAAAATAGCCAAATAATCAACTAAAGTCGGGACCACGTAAGTTTGCAGTTGGTGGCAGCCAATCACAAGACAAGGCTAGTGCGACGTTGCCACATCGCCCATTGACAACACTAATTAAAATATACTAAGCAATATTTTCAAATCAGCTGGTGCTGGTATTATTAGATTTGGCAACACCGCACGGTTCTCATTGGTTCATTCAAAACCATATGGTAAATAGGCTCCTCCCTCAACTGCAAACTTACGTGGTCCCGACTTTAGTGTAAGGGTTTGTTGTACAAAAAAAGTATTTCATTGTAAAGGAATAAGTGTCATGCCTTGTGACATGTTATTTTGCTTGTAGTAATTAAAAAAAGAGCACAGTCAATGAACTGTCATTGACCGTGCCAATAACTTCTTTAAAAGACATTTGGTAAATTAACCTTTTTAAAACGAACTGAACTTATTTTTAAGTCTTGACCTCAAGCTCTTTTCTGTACAATACACTAATAAAGGAGGAATAAATGCGCAACAAACTTTCTAAAAAAGGAATATTAGGTAGTAGATGCACACAAAATATTCGCAAACATTTGTTTGACCACAGAGAAGCAAGATACAGAGGAAACATTCAACGGTACACTCAAGCCGTGTCTACCAGTCGCTTGTGTCTAGTGCAAGTTCTATTGGTCGTCCCCTTCCACTCTCCTCTTCCCCTTACCATCACATACTACAGCACTCACACTCTTTAGGGGGGGGCCTGTGTGTGTGCTACGACTGCTGTTGTAAACAAAATAGCCGTTCGGGCTCTTCTTTGATCGTTTAGCATATATTCCAGAGCTAATATACATGGTTGTTCAATAAGCATGTTTCCTCTGTATCTTACTTCTCCGTGGTTTTACAAATAGTGGCTCAACATACCTTGTCAGACAATCCTTAGCTTATATTCCACACCTCCTGAATACAATTCAGAAGGAAGTAGTAGAGAACTGTCGAGAAACTTCAATACTACTACTTCCATCTGAAGAGGCAACAATAGCAAATTCATTGTATTGTAAACATTTGTTCAAATACTGTTTGGAACTCTTTTATTTACTTTTTTAGAGATTGGCAGTCTCTTTTTATAGCATCTCCCGTTCCTCATCACTAGTGGCGAGAACCTCTTGTGCGAAGGAGTGGGGGGCGTGACGTCACTCTACTCTTGAGGGAACACCATTACCGTTAACGAGACGCTTAGATTCCATCGGAGTTCGTGGCGTAGTTGCTAGCGTCTCAGACTGGTAATCAAAGGGCTTCCGGTTCGAATCTGGCCGGCAACACTAACTTTTTGTCCAAGATTATGCTTATTTTTTACTTTTAACTTTATTTTTTAAGAACTATTTTTTTTAAATTAGTAAACCTTCATTCCATTTTTATTTTATATTTTTTAGATTATCAGCAAGTTTGGTTAGGTTATGACAGTTAAATCTTTTTAGGAAAATTTATTTTATACAGTAATTAAAAATTATAAGTAAACCTTCATTTGATTTTTATCTTAACTTATATCTTTTTTTTATTATCAGCAAGTTTGGTTGGTTAGGTTAGGTTATGACAGTTAAATTTTATAATAACAAAATTTAAGTTAAAACTAATTTTATAGTTAAAAATGTTTTGAAATAATTTTATATTTTAAAATTATTTTATAATTAAAAAGTTAATTTTTCTAACTTAAAAATTATAAAATTAATTTAAAGATTTTCTTAAATTGGCGTGAGGGGCTCTCCCACAATACCCCACCCCTTCGCACAAGAGGTTCTCGCCACTAGTGATGAGGAACGTGAGATGCTAGTGTCTCTTTTACCTTGCATTTATGAGACACAGATGCCTGAGCAAGGAAAGTATCCAGAGCAGAGCAAAAGGAGAGCAGTTACTTGGGACTGAGCCACTAACTAACCTCAAAGGAAAGATTTTTAATTGTGCATCCACTACTTTTACTTCCTAAATTTATTCCAAAGCAAAGTATATTTTCTTAATTATGAAGTATTGTTCTGTAATATTGTAGCTTAGGATCCTTACTCATATACTTAAAAGCAGTATACAACATGTTTTGAAAAATATAAATTCAATTTAGCCCTAAAGAGTAAAGTAAGCGTGTTCAATTTAAATTTAAAATTCTTACCAATATATGTTGGTTGAAGACACAAATACCACCTAAAACCGCAGTCAGGAATGGAGCTAGGATCAAGCCTCCGTTTCTAAAAGCATCTCCCATCGCGTAAATTCCAGACGCAATGTTCGCCTTGAGGAAATGACCTAGAGTCTCTACGTAGCTGCAAAATATGTTCTTTTATTACAAATTTCTTAAACTTACCAAACATAGATTAAGATTTTTGGGTAACCCTTGAATACCCATGGACAAACTTACAAGATCATTTTCTGCTTGTTCTTCTGTTCTATAATGAGGTTACGCATGTTTCCAAACTACAGTAATGAGATAAATTGAGAAAATAAACCATATAATCTCATAAGAGAGCCTAAAGATCAAGAAGTAAATGCAGTGACTCACTATTCAAATAATTTTGATAGGTACCGGTGTAAAACTTTGAGCAGCTGTATGAAGATGAAAAGTTCATAAAGCTCTTTAATTATTTCGTCAGCCACCAATATCAAGCAAGCTTCCGACACAAATAACAAAACCAAGTGCATTTTAGATTCTTCGGAGTCAAAAATCATATGCATCACCTACCCCTATGATACCAAAGGATCTGCTATTTCCCCAAATCATTACCTATTATATGATTTAAACCTGATAGCAAGAAAGGATAGACTTACGATGTTGGGTGTTTGGGCCGCTGCATTTGTCCGACCCCTTCCACAGCCGGGAAACGATCCGGCAACTCCGGAATTGGAGGAGGTTTCTCATAAGGAGGAGGCTTCAGATCCATCAGGGACTAGTGTTTGATCTAAAGTATCGAGGATAACACATTTTAATTATAATTTTCCATTAGTTTTGTCAAAAGAGGAAAGTTTGCTTTTATTCATTTACTTTTCAGTAATCTGAAAAAAGCAAAAATATATACGTCTAATAACACTTGTAATCATATATTTACACTTATACTGTTGACTTACAAGATGGTAAATACATATAAAAGTTGGTACCAACTTTTATATTATTTACCGTCTTGTAAGTCAACAGTATAAGTGTAAATATATGATTACAAGTGTTATTAGACGTATATATTTTTGCTTTTTTCAGGTAATTTAATAACACGTACGATGCTGATCAAGAAGTTATTCATTTTCAGTAATGAAATGGGGACATCACTATGAGAAAACTGGTATTCTTTAAACCAAATATGAATGGAAGACGTATGGCTTTGTTACCGAATCAGATCAGCTGTTTTATTTTAGCCAAAAATATTTAGGGGCAACAATAAAATTTAAAAAACAGCTGAGTCTAGTTTTGAAAAATCAAAAAGCTACTGACTTTTCTCACGCCCAGTGACTATCAAATTAATCAGTTTTCTAAAAACATCGACTCGTTGATTGAATTGAATTGAATTTATATCTTTGTTAAACTGATGATTTTTTTATTTTTTATTGTGTTGTCTAGATTTTTTTTCTCCAAATGCCCCTCTGCTGGAACAAATATAATCTGAAACAATGTCTTAAGAATTAACAATTGTTTTATTTGTTGATAACATCAGTGTTTCTGAAATAGGCTTATTTCTGTTAAGGGGCTGACGTCAAAACCACTCTCACACTTCTGAGTAAACAAGATGGATTTATAGCTATAATCCACCTTAAGTATATTGTTGTTTAAACAAGATATTGTTGCACTTTACAGTTATATGCATTTAGAGTTCCAAGGTCACAAACTGTTAGTTCTTATTCCATTAGTTATTCTGTTAGTTTTTACTTTCTCCTATACCATAGTATATGGAGAAAGTATTGTTTTCGTCAAAATTTTCGAGTTTGAGTTTTGAGTGGATATATTCGTTTTGGGTCCCCCTGGACCCAAAAAAGTGGTTTTCGAAGTGATGTCTGTGTGTGTGTGTGTGTGTGTGTGTGTCTGTGTGTCTGGATGTGTACAGAGCTAGAGACCACACCTGTGGTCCGATTTTGATGAAATTTGGTATGTAGGTTCTAATCCATGGTATCTCCAGGCGTTTTTTTCATTTTTTAGAAATTTTGATTTTTAATGGGGATTTTCCCATAAAAACCCATAAAAAACCGGAAAAATCTAATTTTCTCAAAAACGGCCCGAACGATTTTGATAAAAAATTAGTATGTTGTAGCCCTTAAAACTCTGAATAAAATGGTACAAATCCCATATCTGTAAAAATTATGGTTCAAAAGTTATGGTCAAATATGTTATTTTTCCATAAAAACCCCATAAAAAAATGAAAAAAGGATTACAGAAAAAAATCCAGCTTTGATTTAACATTGTATGTTATAGTCCTTACAGTTTTGATAGTCTTTTTTAATTTTTTAGAAATTTTTATTTTTAATGGGGATTTTCCCATAAAACCCCATAAAATAACGGAAGAATATGATTTTCCCAAAAATGGCCCGAACGATTTTGATAAAAATTTAGCATGTTATAGTCCTTTAAATTCTGAAGAAAATTGTACAAATCCCATTTGCGTATATTTACTCTCACTACTTACACATGATAAAGGTTGTTGACAAACTTATGGGAGAAAGTATGTGTCAGAATGCTGATACCGTTTATTTACATAGCTAACTAAAGCTTTTTTTTGTGGCTATGAAATTGATTTAAAACTAAATTTTATAAATATAGCAACTATAGTATCTTTAGTAATCTTTCATCCGGTACAACACTCATGAAAACCCAAAGGTCTGATTCTAAGTTTAATTGCCATGAGAAAAAAATTTTAATGTTCTGCAAGTATGGAGTAGAGTAAATATAGAGGCAAAAGGTTTATTTATAGTAAATCCTACAATGCAATTTAGCAATTTTTTTATTAATTGCGTCCTAGGCTATCAATATTTCAATAAAAAAACACATGTAGCAGCAAACCTAAGTAGTCTACTTGTTAAATTTAATGCTATTTAATAGGAATAGAAGATGACAATTTTAAGGGTAATATTTTAGTGGAAATTCAGCCAGGTAAATGGTAATTTGCTTAGTCTGCAGGTTTGCTGTTGCAGGGGTATTTTAAAGTTCTCTCTTTAGTGCATGGATTTGTCTAATATAGAGCAGTGGGAGTTTAAAAATCTGGTACGATCATGATGAGTGACAGATTACCTCTTATCATAGTGATTTCAAGTTTTGTTCCAGATTTTAGTACTTAATAATATTACTACAGGCTTGTTGTAATACATTTTGTAAGCCCAATACCATATCCAGGATTTTTTTTGCAGAGAAGGAGGATTTGACGGTATTTAAGATTTTGTTTGTGGAGAAGAAGGATGGATTTGAGGGTTTTTGCCATGTACGTGTATGTTCTGGTATCAGAATCAAGATTGGTTGCAGCAATATAAAGCCAAGTCCTTTATGGTCTTTGTTATTTATTTTTGAATATTTGCTCACTTTTAGTAAATGAAGTTGTGACAATTTAAGTGCCCTGACATCAATAAGGTCGCAATTTTAAAATCTAGTTACTTAATACCTACTCTGACAAAAATTATCATGAAGAATTTTGTTATAAGAAAACATTTGGTTAAGGGACATCTCTAACCAGTAATCTTGTGAGCCTAATTTTCTTTTTCCTAAAACACTTTGTTTGACAAATTTAATATTTTCAATCTTAAAACCTGTTCCACCAATCTTTATGTTCCCAAAAGTAAAGGCTTTATTTTACAAATTTTATTTCAACTAATCTTAAATTTCTATACGACCACCATTTCTGTACAAAGTTATTTTCTTAGAAAGCTTTATTCTGTCACGGAAAAAAACAAAAAATTCTGTACATGTGTAGTGGCGCGTGTAGTGGAAATAAAACCGAACTCAAATAAACAAAAATACTAACTAACCATTTGCTGTAATATCTTACTTACTTAATTTTTATCTCTAAGACTAATTAATCATGTCAATGACCCGTGCATGTCCTACTTACCTTATAGCAACAAGAGCCGCGCCACACAGTATCGGTTTGACATATATCGATCACATATCTGCTTATAAGCTCAACTTATCTTCTCCGAGGTTCGTCTCTTTGTTGCTCTTGAGATAACTAGTGTTACGGACAGGTGTTTGTCTCTACACACAATAGTCGGCTCACGCCAACTCAAGTGTTTGTTCAAAAAGTAAACATTCTTTTGCTTTAGAAATTCAGAATCAATGTGCACAATTATGTATGTGTTATTGGTCAATAATGTCACTTGCTATGTAACACTGCACTGGTGTGAAAATGTGTTCGTAGTTTTTGCACATCCCTTGTATATCTTTTTAAACTGTCAAACATTTCATGGGTAGTAAATTTCACTTTATAGCTAGTACATGTTTTAACCATGAGACTCAAAGGTGTATTCGGAATACTTTGGAAACAGCAATAAAGATACTGCAGATTTGTGTTCTCTCCTGTACTTACTTATCTAGGTGTGTCAGATGTTAGTTATCATCAATATACCTTAGTCAAACATGTGTCAACTGAAGGGTAATTTTCAACTCAATCCGAGTCAGTTGTCAACTCAAGGTTATGGTCAACTCAACCGGAGTCAGTAGTAAACTCAAGGCAATGGTCAACTCAAGTCCAGCCAGTGGTCAACTCAAGTTAATGCTCAACTTAACTCGAGCCATAGTAGTCAACTCAAGGCAATGGTCAACTCAAATCGAGTCAGTAGCCAACTCAAGGCAAAAGGTCAACTCAATCCGAGTCAGCAAACAACTCAAGGCAATGGTCAACCCAACCTGAGCCAGTGGTCAACTCAGTTCTCAACTCGAATCAGTTGTCAACTTATCATTATTAAATGAAGTCATGTTATATTCACAACCAACTGAAGAAAGAACGAGTAGAAATGTGAATCAACACTTACAACCAACCGAGCACAAGATCCAACTCAAGTCTAATTAACTTGCCTCATAACTCGAGATGAAGAGGTTTATCAAGTTGAGAAATAGCTGAAGTTTAAAAAGTATTCATCTGACCTATCATATGTAACAAACAAGAAGCATTTAATTCTTGAAGAGTTTTAAAATTCCAATTCTGTCGTAAACAGCAAAGCTAAAAAACCAAAGTTAACAATGGGTTTCTTTAGCTTTTGTAAACACATGGTAGGTTTGGTACACCTTCTCGTAGAAGTCTGTTAAACAAAAGTATGTTGTAAATGTGCTTTATTCTTCTAATTACATGTTATAAATATGTACAATCTTATTTAAAAATGTTATATACACTCTATTATTATTATACATTTCAGTTTTAAAATTTCACCAAGAATTATGTATCATTATATATTTCTCCAAAATACAGTGTTTTCCTAAAACCTACTCCTAAAATAGAAAATATTTACACAATAATACTTTAAATTACAGAAATCACAGTGATAAAAATACAACTTTAACTTATCAACTTAGAAGATACATCTCAACAAGTTAACCTAATTAATTTGTTACATTCCTTATTAAAATATACAATTTTGATATAGTAGCAAAGAATTTTATTTTGCTGCCACTTGAGGTGAATATTTGTTAATTCTAACTTGGGTTGGTTCAATGAATATTTAATCAGACACGGTATGGATCATAAACATAAACAAAATGCTACTAGCTGGAAAATAAACATATTGCTTAAATGGAACTGTATAAACCACATGTTAATGCTAGTATAGGATTCAGGCCAGCAAAGTAATTTCTTTATGTTTACGATCCATACTGGTTCTGTTTAAGTATTTGTGGTTGGTTTTATAGAAACTTTGGTATAGTTGATAATTTTTTTGAAAGTTGTAGCAGTGGCATGAATACAACTTTTAAGCTCTACCATTGACTTTTGGATTCCAGTACTGAAGTTCTAACAATAGTCAAAGGGTATACATAATAATTGTCACGATCCAATAAAAAGTTAAAAGTTATTGTCAGTGAATCAATTATAAAACATTAACTTAGTTCTATTACTCTCAATGGACGATATCCTAAATGATAAAACGAGTTTACAATTTCTCTAAAATGGAAAAGTCGTATCACAGCATTTTTGTTCACATTAATTACAATATACATACATTAGGTATAAAACTATCTACAAATATTTACAATAATTAATTATCTAAACTCATTTATACTTCTTTTTATGCTAAGAGGTAAGTATTTTTATACTAGATCATATAAATATTTAAGAATACAGTGCAAAATTACCATAATTAACTAATATTATTTTAAGTCATCTGAGGATGGAGGAAAGCTTAAAAAATTAATATGTTTCTTTGAGTACAAAGTAAGTATGTGAGCCTAAAAAATCAAATATTAAACCTATTTGATTGAATATTTACACATAGTTAAATTTATGCCCCTTAAATTTAAACATTTAGGTACTGATAAAAATGTGTTTCTTATCACTTCATCAAACAGAAAAAATGGGTTTAAAAATTGTTTTGAACTCTATTAAGTCAATACATACGATAAGAAACGTGCGTTAAATATTTTTAGATTTTATGATCACTAAGTTTCGTTAAACCTGATAAAACTGGAAAAGGATTTAACAAAAATTACAATGAAATTGTTGGAAACCATTCACCCCACCTTTTGATAAATCCAGCAAAAGGTTTTTTCTCTACTTTTCATCTACAACTTTAATCATCATATAAAAATTCACTCAAAATTTGAAAGCACAAGAATCATATGACACTTTCACTTAAATAAATAAGTTAACTGCCTAAGTCTAAGAAACTATTTTACAAAATCAGTGCAAGCCAAAAGACTGTACAATGTGAACTAAACTAAAGTACGTTCCGGTGCAAAAACCGAATAAAGCGATGAGGAGCGTTAGATAGTTCACCATCTTACGCCAGCCTAGGAAGCCAAAGTCTCCGTCTAGCTGGCGCATGCTTATATCACAGAGAGGGGGGAACACCAGCGCTAGCGCCGTGCTGCTGACTGCGCCGACCAGCGAGATGAATAGACTGAGGTCTGGTATTACCTCGGCGAGGACAACTGAAAAAGATGAGAACAAAATTAAAGAAAGTCTCTAAACAGGAAGTCAGATTTGAGACAGGAATCTAAAAGCAACATATATATTAAACCTAAATATGATGGCAGGATGGAGTGTTGTTTCTACCTTTGTTAATTGTTACTGATGATCAGCTGTTTCTCTAGCCAAAACCATAATTCTAATCAATGATTAAGAACAGCCGGGTCAATTTTTAATACATTAAAAAACTCATATTTTCTCATAGGATTTAACTAGTGAATGTTGATTACTGGGGAAGTGCTGTAACCACTCAGCTACCCATAGCTATTTCAAAGCAATGTAGAACGCTTTAATATAATCACAAATCATAAGAATACTGATTTTATGCTCATAATTTAAAAAAATTGGACAAGTGGATGATCGCTGTTGAGGGGAAGATCCCCCCTACTTTTTTCTGCTTAATGTATGTTATTGCAGATTGACGTTTTGACAAATCTCAGCTGTTGAGCTATGTTTTAATGGTAAGATCAAGACATTGAGGGGATGGATTTCTTCTCCTGAAACCGCCTAAATTTGGTGAACGGAGTATAGTGGTAAAGTAAAAGAGGTAAACTATAAGATTGTAAGCTTTACTTGATATTTGCTGCAAACTGAAAGACATTCAAGATCTACGGTACTTTGCTTGGGTCTTTGGGTAACTGGTGGTGTTAGTATGGCATTAGGTCTTATCAAACGCTCCAAGATGTAATAAGGGGAAAACATGATAAAAAATTATAAATTTTTTTCAATGAATATTTCTTGGAGTAAAGATTAAAAAACGTCTGTAACCTGGACATTTCCAAACTTAATCCTGTCATATATTTTATGTTAATTTTCAAAAAGTTATATAAACAAAAGATTCGCGAGTATTCACTCACAAGTTAGAAGACACAGTAGTATCCTTAGGATGATTTCGTATCTGACAGGTTTGTCAAAAGGTCCCCAGCGTTCTACCACAGCCGGCCAGATCAGAGCTACAGGAACGTAGAACATGATCGGGTATGTCAACAAGATACCGATGGCGATGGCTATTTTCACACACTGGGACAGCCTGTAAGCAATAAATTATATTAAAGACTGTCCAAAACCCAATCCTCCTAAAACAAAAACATTACTTCACTCAATCATTGATAAAGGCAGCACCACACTTTACGTAGGTACATATTTTAAGGCGAATATGAACGTTGGGCAAGTGGAGGATGGATTAAGATGATCATTGTAGCTTTGTTACTGACCAAGATCAGCTGTTTCGTTAGTCAGGATCAAGAGCAATAATCAAGATCAGCTGACCCTGTTTCAAACCATCCAAAAGCTACTTTTTTCAGGATCGAACTAGCGATCTTCTATTTCATAGTTGAGCACTGGGACTCGTCTATCAAGCAAGCAACCAACTATAGTTGTATTTGAAGTATAGAGACTTGAGACAGGAGTCAAATGCTCAATCATGTCAATAATGTTAAAGGCAATGCTGAAGTTCTGAAGTGTTGAAGGCAATGGTTTTAGTAATGACCCTGGTAATGGGTGTATGTAATGGTAATGGTAATGGGTGTATGTAATGGTAATGGTAATGGGTGTACAAGAGCGTCAAATCTCTGTGTTCAAAATCAAAAGGCTATTAGCTATTTTCTAAACCGGAGGTTATGAAGAAAAAAATATTGCTCCCTTAGGTGAAGAGCATTGTCTCTATTCAAAACATAACTCCATAGAAATCCACAGTCATATAAGTTTTAAGGGTATAAGAATGAAAAAAGTTGAAAAGGAAACTTAAGAGTGAAACGTACTTGACTTACATTGTATAAATAGCATAATCTTCTATCCCAGAGTTAACTCACGTGTTATCATGAGGGAGATTGAGTGTGAGACTGCCCTGGACATCATCTCCATACTTGAGGTATCCGATGAAGCCCATGATAAGCAAGAGCAGAGTTACGATGATGTTTCCGACGTTCAGAACTCCCAACGGACTGTTGAACTTGTCTGGGTGCCTCATTTCTGTCTGCAGCGGCAATACCTGGAAGAAAAAAATTGTTCACAATATATTTTTCAAAATGGAAAACCCGAAAATGCATCACTTAGGCGAAGATAAAAAATAAGGTAACCATTACTGCTTATTATAACAGCTTTAATGCCATTGTTGGGTTTAGTGGGCATTGGGCATTGAGTTTGGTAGTAAGAGCATTCTGTCCTTTTGAGGCATTGTGAGATTTCCAACATAGTTTGTCATGGAGTGTGGCATCTTCATCAAGGAGTGGAAATAATGTTATAAGACACAAGGAAACTTAAAAATAATTATTTATAATTCTTGCCACTGGGAATAAAATAAAAACAAATGTTTGGAAGATAGTAAATTCTAAACATTGTTTATACATCTCGATCTTTAATAACTGATAAAGGAACTATAGGTTCTTGACTAGAAAGCTTACCAAACTGATTCCCTCGTAGGCGTAGATCACAGTACCGAAGAACAGAGGCAGCTGCACCAGAGTGGGGATGGCGTGCCGAGCAGCAATTGGCGGGAGCTCATCACAGCTGATGTAGATGGTGAGGGCGACGCCAACGACCATAGTGACTGTGGCGAACAACGAGACCGGCGCAAGGTATTTGAGGTTCCGAATGATAATGAAGGCCATGATAAACACAAGAGTGATGACCATGTTGAGATGGATATCCATGTGGTATCCGAAGTTCTCTAGAATCTGCAACAATGTTTCAAATATTAGTGTGTGAAAGATATTATAATCTCCGTAAGTCCTCATCAATACTTTTTAAACAGCAATGCCAACTGGTCTTAGTGCAGTTCAGGTCTTATTTGTGATAGTGGCACCATCAAAATAACTGAAAACTAGTTGCTCTGCAACTGGATGAGGATACAAAGGATAATAACGTGGTTTTTTAAATCCACTGTAAAAACCACATACACCCATCATTGACTATAGAGGAAAATCTCAATTCTACTGCACGGAATTAATATGTCTTTGGTTCATAAATTTGCAATAAATTGTATGGCAGAATCAAAAGATCAACTCAGGTCAAAGTAAACAAACAACTATAAATAAAAACAATTAACAGCTGATTCTTATTCAATATTTTAAAAGAGATTAACTCTTCAGTTAGAGTTTGTGTCCTTACGAGACGGTATATTGAGCTTATTAATTAGGAATTTGTAAATTAAGGAATTGTTAACTGACCTGATGGGTCGTGCTGGTGACAAAGACCATGTAGACGCAGCAGAATCCTAGCTGAGCCGTGATTATGAAGAAGTTAACAGCTGATCTGTAAAGAAAATGTTCTGAAATTGAATACCTATATGAATTTAAGTTTGTACCTGTGCTTTATATTTAGAATACGATAAACTGAAACAGTTTTTTATGATGTTGATACACATAACCACAGAACAGTAAACATAAACCATTCTGTTCAAAAATGCCTAAAAATACATCTTAGTAAGTAAAACCAATATTCTTAGAACATGGTATGCTAACGTATTGTTTGGAAATTGAACATGACAACACGGTAAAATGTAACGTTGTTACAAAACCCAAACAGCAAGAAATCCGTAACAAAAAGAGCTATTATCAAATCCCATTGTACAATATGCTGAGGTTTTTCACAAACCTTGAAGTCAAACAAGAAGCTGACCTTGATAACAGGTATAGTTTGTCATTATTTCATTTAGAGTCTTGCTATTGATACAATCTCCCTACTTCTAAAAAACACAAATTATGGGAACAAATATAGGTTATTACCAGTGCTGTAGTGGAGCAAGAACGCGTGGAAACAGCTTTTCCACTCTGCTTTTTCTATAAGTTTATTTCCTTTTACATATTTTAAAAGACACCTTTATTTTTTCTGAAACCATTCTTTTCACATAAAAAAAAAAATTACCTTCCAGTTTTGGCATAGCGGCGAAACATTGGCGGTCCAGCATCAAAACATAATTCTACTGTATCGTCAAACCCTGGGTAATAATTTAGCTTGTTTCTCTCTCTCATAGCATTGGCACAATTCACCTGGAAAAGATAATAATGTTGATAAACTAGTCTAGACCTGTACCCTGTACAGATCCGCAAGAACTTCTGTGTGTGCGGACGGTTCACTACTTGCCTCACTAAAAAAATACGAGTGCCGGTTATTATTAGTGGTAGGGGCAGAGGTGAGTGAGTCACGCAGAAGGCACGAATGTTTTCATAAAAGAACCCCCATTAATCTCTGGCCAAAGCACAGAAGGTTGTGCACAGAACTTTGGTCGATTTGTACCCGCCGCCGTTCTGTAGTTTAAAGTTGGAAGGCAAGGCATTTTATAGTTTTGTTTGTTTTTGTGTGTGGCTGTATGTGTTACATGTTTTTAAGATTCACGACAACCTCCAACGAGTGAGATTTTACGTTAGCTTGAAAATGACGACATAGACATCAAAAGTAATTGCCAAATAGACGACTTATGGATTTACTTGGACAGAAAAAGTTAAGTTAACCTCTTATAGATATAATGTGACAAAAGATGCATTAATTTACAAAACGTCCTTTTAGTTTGGTTTCATTAAAAAATTGTGTATTAATCAGAAATCAGTAATTTAGATCACTCTAACACTAAAAGAAATCTACACAAAATAAGAGAGAAATGTTTAGTCAACATCAGCCTTAACAATTCAGCAATATTGCTAAAGCTTTTATTAGACTATTTCATGCACTACTCTATTATAGTACTCTTATGATTCAATTCTCACCAGAATGTGTTGGTTGAAAACACAAATAATTCCCAGAAACACTGTGAGAAAAGGAGCCAACAACAGTCCTCCGTTCTTGAAGGCGTCTCCCATCGCATACATGCCGGACGCAATGTTCCCTTTCAGGAGATGGGCTAACGTCTCAGAGTACCTGCGGAATTCAAAATAAAGGATGCATTTAAAAATAAGAGAGTAAAATGCATTACCTCGTCTACTGCGGCATTGGTGTGTGGCAATGTCGCTCCGGCCAGCCTATTTCCATAATAATATCAGTAATAACTAACGTTAAAAAATAAACGTTGTGCAGACGCTCCATTATTAAGTGTAACATCTGTTTCGGTTTGCCAGGACAGAGGTGTTGCCGCTTTTGTCCTGTGCTTTAGTCTGGGGGCCCCGGGCACTCGCCCCGTTTGTCAATAGGTAAATTTGGCACTGTTTATTTTGCCAACACAAAAAATAAAATAATACTCTTTTACAACTGATACCCTAACACATCACAATAACACCCTTCTAGTCCCGTATCTATTAGATTACCCAGTTAACTTTAAGTGCATACTTCTCCCTTCATTTTTGCAAACAAAAACTATTATTCAACTTAAAACAGTAGAATCATACACATAATATATTTATACAACCACTATACAACCACTTAACCTCACTTACGATGTGGGATGTTTGGGCCGCTGCATGTGTCCAATGCCTTCCACAGCGGGGAAATGATCTGGAAGCTCTGGTACAGCGGGGGGTTTATACTCCGGCGGGGGCTTCCGGTCCAGTGGAGGTTTGTACTCCGGTGGAGGTTTGGAGTGGTTAGAGAGAACATCTGAAGTGTCCCACACCATGGCGCGATTGTCCACTCCATGGAGCACCATCTTGTTGTCCTGCAAATAATGTTATAGTAAGTGGAATGAATTTGAAATATACAGAGTTTTCATAGCATAATTGTGAGGTTTATAAATTGTATCAAACATTGAGATGGAGACGCCACCTATGTGCGCGTTTTAACCCAAATATGAGTGAAGGAAAGTGTAGAATGAAGTCTGATGATCTGTGTAGCTTTCTTCTTTGTTACTGACTAAGATATCAGCTGATTCATTAGCCAGGATCATTTTCATTTATTTAAAGCCCAATGATCAAGAACAGCTGGGTCAAGTTTTAATCATCTGTAGAATTGTTACAAGAAAACAGAAGCTTTAATTTCAGTAAACACAATGGAAGCTCAAACTTTTTTATTTGTTAAGACAGGTGTGTTGATCCCAAATGTCAACAAATATATATTGTTGTCCTTTTTGCTTATTTCTAGGACGATAGTGCAGAAATTAGAATTGCGATTACCCTAATATGAATATGGAATATCTATATTCTAAAAGCCAAGAGAATCACAAATCCTGACCTGATGAAATACATCTGTCCCATTATCAAGTAAAGATCATAGGTGAAGAGAAGGTTCCTTGTTCTTTAGATTAGATAACTGTTTTTTTTTTTTACTTGTTCAGTTGTGAATAACATACAAAAACACGAAAACAAAAGTCTCTTGACATGATTTGACATGATCGGAGTAAACATTCTCGGTATACATGTAGCTATACAAACAATACTGTGTCTTGTATTAAAATATTCTGTTTCATTACAACTATTCACTCTTTCAGGGTAAAATTGCAAATAATAAAGGCATTCAAATTTTAGTCTCTATTCCCTTTAGTGACTCGAAGAAGTAGAATATTTTATATTTAATACAAAATTTTTATTTGAGATCTCAATTAATGACCATTCTACCTTATAAAAAAACTCCAATATAACCTGTAAAATGCGTTTAGTAAAGTATGATACAAACTTTAGCAAATTGGAAAAAAACATCTGAACAAAAATGAAAACAAATTACTTAAATTTAAAAAAGGTGTGGTTTTACTTACTAGTACAACCTCAACAAAAACTACTGAAGGCACAGTTGTCACTAATTACTCTAGATAATGAGTATGCTATCAAAATAATGTCTCTATTCGAACTATTTAACATTACACCTTCAGCCAATCACAGAAGCCAGATTAACTCGTAATCGTCCAATTAAGGCACGTTTAATAATCTTGATAGGCAAGCCTAAACCATACCCTAATTTAGCATTTTTTATGTTATACATGAACACAAACATGACTTGACAACTCATTAAGATTGAGTGATAAGAACTCTGTTGATATACACATGGAATATGTATATTGAAAATTATAGTTAGTTATTGAGGTTAGTTGTTTTTTGAATGCCAATGTGGACTCGACATAGCTTATTCTGGAATCATTTTCAAATTTCTAAATTTTATCACTAAATTTTATTATTTGTGCATACGCAGTACTTTTTCCTCTAATCTTCAGGTTCTACGCCATAAGACCCAGCCCCCTCGAAACAGGATTGAAATAAATAATACCGTAAAATTGGGAAAAGTAATTTTTTTATATATGAGATAATACAAGATATGAGTTGAAATTGTAAGACTTTGTACAATTCTCTATTTTGACCTTTAAAAATATTGTATTTGCCAAAAACGTTGTACTATAATGGTTTTTATTGTTCGACAAACGACTATCATTTGTCCTGTAAAATGAATATCCTGTCCTATGAAAAACGTTTCTATAAATGTCTACAACCAAGGCAACACTAAATAAACACAACTCATGATTTATTCCTACAGGAGTATATAGGAGCCCCAAATGGATTTTAGCTCATCCATGATTTCACTGCCACTGATGTTACCTTTATCTTATTGATGTATATAAAAAAAAGTTAAATATAAGAAAGAACAGTGAGCTCCTAATGCTTGCTTGGACCAAGAACCTTTTGACTTGACTTTGAAATTATGATGTTTGGAAGTAGTTTTATATGAGTCACTGATGGCTGGGCAAGATTGTGACCTTCATATTTCAATGTCAATGAGAAGATTCCCATGATAAACTTGATAGAGCTGACAACAATAGAATTGCATTTGGCAGAAAAGTTTGTAATAATATGATTTAGTAGTAGAAGGACGATCAAATGACAAATTAAAATAATTACTGACAAGATTTGGTGTCGTGGGAATATTTTGAGCACAATTTAAAAGTTATGTCAAGTTGTTGGTATCCGTACAACTTTTATTTTCTTCAGTCATGTAGTGGCTCTGGTCGCACATAAACAACTTATGTAATTTGTTGGTACCGATTTTTTGAAGTCCATTCCGGTCTTGAAGAATTTGATTCTCGGTTTTCAGTATCTGTACTATTAGAACCTAAATAAATGGCACACCTTCATTAAAAAGTTGCGCAAACGTTGACATGTTTAATGACATATTTATTTTTAAAATACTTTGGGTACATACACACTGTTTTGTGATTTATTGGCTTTGTGTATTTAAGTTTTATGAGAAGATTAGATTCCCCTACAATAAATTTTTACGTCCCCACTAAGGTGTGTATTTTAAGGAGAAGATTAATAGACATGTATGTTAAATGAATAAGAAGACAGTTCTAAAACTGACTAATATTAGCTGTTTAACCAGGATCAATTATTAAATGGCATTGCATCGAGCACAGCTGGTTTAGTGGATCAAACCAGGCAACCTTTTGACTACAAGGCAAACACTACATCAACTCATCTACCCTGTTTTTTTCACAAGTATGAATGGTAAATTTTTGATGTTCCTGTTTTACAAGCAACTGCAAATACTCCTGCCGCATCTAACCTGTAGACAAGTAAATTCCCATTTGTTCCATAAACAAATATTTTCCATTTGTTTTTATAAAATATTTTCACAACATTCTACACTTATCCTTTACTCATATTTGGGTTACGCACCTAGATGACGTCCCCATCTCAATTATTGATAATTGACAAACAAGTCGTATTTATTCTCAACATTTGTTTGATTATAAAGGGAAAGCATTCAAACTCAATTAATCTATTCAAATTTGTTATTCTTCTCTTTTTGTGGGGAAGCCCTTCAAACCTCTCGTCCCCGATCAAACTTCCTTTAATCCTTGTCCTTTGATCCTTGTCAGGCCCAAAAAATTATTCCTGGAGCCGCCCCTGATGTTAATCATAGGATAGAATAAATTAATTGGCCAATATTAGATGAAAATCCATCCAATCCATAAACAAGTAACTAAAACAGTTTACTTTTCCCATAAGAATAACATGATATTTTTAAATGTACAGTTTTTTTCCTCAAGCCTTAAATTGTACAAAAACTCTCAAGTACAAAATAATTTATTCAGTATTCAGCTCTACCCTGATGGCACTATTTGATATTCAGCATTTACACGTTTTTATTGTAAACATAAAAAAAATGTATACTGTACTTTAAAAATATTAAAAGTCCACAACACCTTGCTCAAATAATTCGCCATAGACGCAATTAAAAAAGGAAATTGTTTGAAATACTTTCACGCCAACCACTTTTTCTTTCTACTAGGTCATGATCAACAAGGCATAAAAGGAACTATCACAATTACCTAGGCTTTACAAAAATGTGAAGTTGTAAAGGCTTATTAGGCGGTACAGGCAGGAAGTCCAGCTGTTGTTCAAAGGCCTTGAACAAAGCACAATGGCCAACAATGTCCACAACGGCCTTCCCAGTGTGTTTGTGTTTCAGATTTTAAACATCACGAGATTTGATTTAAATAGTAGAATAGTGAATGAAGGGAGCAAGAAAACATTAATTTGAAAACTAACCTAAAGGTCGAGACTACTCCATGGGTCTCTTATAAATTGGTGTAGTTTCTATGCTGTATCATAGACAAAAAGAATTAAATATAGACTGTCAGCTGTGCTGCAGTGCTGCGGTTACCATAGGTTCTGGCGCACACCGCTGGGACAACCATGTAGTTGGCGTACGCGCTACGTAACTACACGGCGCTCCAAGAGGTGTGCGCCAGAACCTGTGGTAACCATGGTAACCACAGCAGGCTGACATTCTATATTAATTTCTTTTTATCTAAGGTTGTATGTAAGGTGATAATATTAAAGTATGGAGTGTAATTCAAGAACAAGAAAGGTTTAATAACTGATCAGAATTGAAATCCGATAAATAATCATACTTGTTTGAGATAGCTAGTGATCGCCACAAAACCCCAAGTTCTGATTACATTTTGTGGGTGATTTACGATTTTTATATAGTTTTCATTGGAATCATAATTATTGTAACTAACGGAGAGAAAATATTTTTTCCGAACTACACATTATATTTGTCCTATAGTTTGAATTGCCTGATTATTTTAGAACTGCTCCAATTTCCCTTTAAAAAATTGCAGATTAGAGTTTAGTATTTTTATTATATTGTATAGGCTAATGGGCAAAACTGTGCCATCTCAGCCACTTCTGTTAACTTTCGGGCCAGTACATTTGTTAATCTTTATTATCTATGCCGGGTCTGTTCTGTGTTACTCAATGATTTCTGTTACACACATCACAACAATGATTTATTTTCCGTTATCGTTGTATTCAAATCATAAACAGTGTTTATTATTTCGCGTAAAAAAACGTGTGAATACCAAAGTTAAATGGTTGCGGTCAAGTTAAAGGGTACAGAAATCAACTACTTTGCGTGATATAATCAGTGAGAAAATATTGGGTAGCTATATTTAAAATACATTTACTTTATCTTGTACTGTAGGGTATCCTTCGTCCTATAGGATGTTTAGTAGCTTCACATTGTCGTAGGCTGTTGCCGCTCCTTTCACGTGGGTTACCTTCGCATTTAACCTTTGACCTCATCATATCCCGTCGTCCTTAAGGATGAAACCTTATTTAGCTTTATCTTATCTTACATTCTCAAACACAGGTCCATTGTCTCTTCGATTAATTAGTGATTACAACCATAAGTGATTACAAGCAACGATTTATTTTTGGATAACTC